ATGTGCAGTGTAATTAAAAGTGTGTGCACGTGCAGACCCTGGCAAAGCAATTCAAATAGAAAAGGGCAAGCGAAAGGCTATTGAGGGCCCGAGCTGGGGGTAATTTTGGGGAATACGAGTCCTTTGCCGGCTTGGCTTTCTGATTTCTGACGGTTGGCCTATCTGCCTGCCAATCTATAACCATAAGCCGGAATCAGAACTTGCTCGGGCCAAATAATAGAAGCACATCCCGGCAGTCACTCCCCTTTCAATTAACATTTGACCGGGCTTAAATCGAAACCAAAACAGTTCTCATCTGCTCCACGTGAAAAAAATAACAGAAAAACTAGTCATTGGGAGCACTTTTATAGGTATAATTTCAAAGGGACTGCAGTTTTCATTAATAAAGTTATAATATAAATTTATAATATTAATCCATTTTTTTCTTCCAAGCGTTATGTTCTTATATATTTTTTTTTGCTTTTCTTAACTGCTTTTGATTGTTTGGATATTTATTTCCATTATTATTTTATACTGTGTTTGTAGTGTAGAAGGGCATGTTGTTTTAGCGCAATGTAACTGGTAGCTGGGAATATTGAAAATATTTTGTTAACTTTTTTCTTGGTGTAGCCTTAAAGCCATGTAAATTAGTTTTCAGGTGGAATCAAAACCCAAGTCGAAATCACAATCAGAGGAAGCCAGGATCGGACATCTGATGAGACCATGGACAAGCACTTGCCTTGAATATGTGATAATTGGGTTTTTTGCCCTTTCAACGAACATCACAGACGCCCTGCTCTTTCATTTTACATTTTGCTAATTGCTATTTCTGGAAAATTGCTGCACCAGATATAAAAGTGCATGGCAAAAGAAATATTTATGCAGAAATTGTTTGATATTCCCCCGTTTATATGTAATGAAAATATTTAGCTAGTCTGCAGGGAGTCAGCAGCTGGCATGTTAAGTTAAATATTAAATGCTGACCAAACAACCCGTAAAATTCTATTATTTAACTGTCGAAATACGCTCACTTTTTGCAGTGAATAACATGCTAAGCCAGATTTCTTTTTTTTTAATACAAAGCATGTTTTTAGAATTTTTCAGCTGCCACTTTATGCAGCAACTCTCGGGCAAGTCTTTAATTTAGATAAAGAAATAGAAACACAGTGGGAGATGGGAATGTTAGGTACCCGAAAAGAAAGTGCGAACAGGGAATAAATCTTGGCCAGCATTGTCCTGGTTGCGGAGTCGGAACCAAAGCTGGATAAAGAGCCAGGACCAAAGCCACAGCCAAACATCGAAGCACTTAGCAACTGCCTAATTTATGGCCCTGTCTGACAATGTGCATGGCAATGTGAATGTGAATGTGAATGTGATTGTGAATGTGAATACGAATGTTTGAGCGCCGGCAGGCCAGACGGTCCACACAGACATCGGGCAAATATCAGACGATTAGCCGATTGCATTGAAACAAAGCCCGGAATCGGGGGGTTGTGGGGATGGGGCCGTCTCCGGCCAATCGATCGGCATTTAAATATTTTTGTGGGCTTGCTGCCTCTCTAAGCCGACATCGATGCTTAAATAATTGTAATTGAATTACTTGGCATTGTTTTGACTCCGGTTGGGAGTCGTCCTTATGGTTATGGCGCTCACATCTCCGGCCGACATTTATTGGTACAGTAAATGCTTCATGATAGTCACGTAGTTGGCAACTGAAAGAGCAGCTTCCGAAGTTCAAAGTTTTGTTTTGGGGCGCACATGACATGCAAAGGCGAAATCACAAAACACTGAAACGTGCTTTTTGACATTTTTGCAATGTATTTAGGCACGTGCAGTATCCATCTCATCGAGTGTGTGTGTGTGAGACTTCTTTGCCAAATTGAATTTAGCTGCCAAAAATGGAATCGATTTAAAAGCAAAAGAACGAAATCAGAAGCAACAGCATTAGGGTCAATTACCGCTGCAAAGTGAATTGTCAACAAAATCAAACCCCAAAAGCAGGCAGCAAACTCGGTTCAACACATTGTCCAACTGCCAACTATCGCACACACACTCGGTTCAAAGTGGGTGTGGTTGTGGCTATGTGTGTGGTGCACTTTCATTATCTGTGCAAATATTTGCCAAAAATGGCAGTTGGCAGTTGGCCGTTGTCCTCTGTCTCCTGTCTCCTGTCTCTCCTCCGGCGAGAGTTGCTGGCTCGACACTTTTGGGCATCCTAGCGCAAGTTTTAAGCCGCTTAGTCCCAGCCCTTTTCCCATTACTCTTCCCCCCTCTGCAAAGTGAAAGTTATTGTACGGCCAACACACACACATATACTTACCATCACGAGCCCTGCGGTGCACATTTCATAAATGTGGTAGAAGGAAAACTATTTCCATGTTGTTTGGTTGCGTGCGCTTTTGCGAAAGTTTCGGCCTCTTATGTCGGTTGTCCCTCAACTCAACTTTTTGTCTGAGCCGGAAACTATGGGCCATCCTTCCACACAGGATGCCGTAAATATTTGCCTTTGCGGCATAGATGCAAACACTTCGCAAGTTTGACTTTAAGACTCACCTGAAGGGACGTCCCGCCACGAAGTTGTTGTGTTAACTGCCCCGCAGCAACATCAGCAGCAGCAACAGCACTCAGAGAAAAATAACATAGTTTTGAGTCCGAAATCATCAGATTTAAATTACACTAAGGTTTTTTCTTAGGCTTACTAAATATCGATTTTCTTTCAGAAATATAAATTATTATTTCAACAATCTATTAAACCATTTTCAATCCCAAAAATGGTCAATTTTAGATTTTAACCGGATATCGTAATAAAACATGTAATATGAAACCGTCCCACTTTTCAACACATAAATTATTCCTATTAATTAAAGAAAATTAGAAAATTTTGAGAAACATTGTATATTATCAACTATCTTAAGAAGATTCTTCGTTCAAAAAGTCATTTTCTGGGAAATGCAGCTACCAATTATTTTATTATTAAATTTTGATTTACTTTGATATATCTTTAGCAAATTTTATCCAGACCAATAAGAAGTCAATGTCAAATGAATTTAAAATTTTCTTCTGTGCAGGAATCGCAGTCGAGCCAGGAGAAAGTTAAACAACTGTTGGTAGCCATACGAGTATATGCGTTATTGGAAAATTTTCAATTTGCTATTGAAAACACACGGCAGGATGGGAAGGGGTGTTTGTGGGCAGAGGGCGGAACAAATTTCATACTCGAGAAAGCTAATTAACTTCCCTTTACGAGGCATAAACTTCCGCTATTAAACGCATTTATTTTCATGCGAAAATAAACAAATACCCAAGCACGAGCCGGCGGAGAAAGTAATGTTTTGACGGCTCCTTTTGCGCACGAGTATTATTTCTTTATGCATTAAAACGTCGCCGGGCACGCACACAAACAAAAGCCACGGCTCGTGTGAATTTACGACAGGGGGGTTTAGTTCGAGAGGGGGGTGGTAGGTCCTTAGAGGGGGCGATATGTCTGCTGGTACTTAGCAAGTCGGAATATTTGCTAAGCGCCTGCTCCCACGTCCTTCTGCTCCTAGAACTCGGCATATTTGTTGCTTGCCTTTAACTAACAAATGCCATGCAACGGTTTTAACAATCATCGAGCGTTAATGAAAAGCCGTAACCTCACCTGTGTGGAGAATAATATAGATATAAATCGAGCTTGCTTTTTAATGCCGCAACATCATCATCCAGAATGATGATAACGGCATGATTCACCAGCGAATCGATTCCAATCTGGTAGCTATCAATTTTATATTGTTAACAAAGAATACGAGGAAATAGAAAACAAAATAAGCCCTGTGGTAAAACTTGAATATGAGAAACCCGATATATAGGTAAATATTAATCCTAATAAATAGTACCGCACACCAGCAGATGGTAACGATCTATCATTAATTCCTTAGATAAATTAAACATTTAAAAAGTACTCACAATGATATTCATAAGTTTGATGAAACAGGAAAATATATATTCTGAACTCTTTAACCAGATTGTCTTCAAGAACTCCTTCCATGAATCCAAAAGCATTCCAATCAGCGCTTAATTCTGATCAAATCGAATAGGTCATTGCAAAATACTAAGTAAAGCTATTATAATCGAACATTTTCGTAACCGATTTAGTTGAATTCTTTGTAAAGAAATTTTTTAAAATACTAGTTCAGTAAGTAACTTTTTATAATATTCTATACATAAACTAAGCTCATGGTAGCGCCATTTAAATATGTCTTAAAATATTTTTCGGCTTAATGATATGAATGTTGCCTAGATATGAATAATCATTACATCTTAGACTACAAATTTGTACTACAAAGTGTTGCATTTGATTTGTTTACTTCTCCAGTATATCATTTAATACTAGAGAGATCTATCCGTCAATTGACATAATAATTCATAGATGTTTATTGAAAAACGGCCAAGAGTATGCAATAGTTTTTGAATTTAGTTCACAATTTCGATTATGTTAATACACACTCTCTGCAGATCTGTTATAGCATGCAATGTTGACTAATAGAAAAGGTCAACAAATTTCTGCCGGCAACCGCCGCTTCTTGCATTGAGCCAAATTGCATAACAAACATAATTTTAATTAAATCAACAACTTGGTTGGAAACACACTGTATCATAATTGCCATGCACACCCACAAAGCACACTCGGCCAAGTTTAATTAAAATGTCAGAATCGTTATATTCACGTAAATTGTAATTGCATTTTTTTTGGTTGCTTGCCGAGGTAATAATTACACACAACACATTTGCAGAACGCTACAAAGCTGTTTAGGCAAAAATTAAATGCATTTGCATATTCAATTGAATCGAACAAATGAGCTTCCACAAATGAAAAGCATGGATGGTCATATTACTGCAATTAAAAGTTTTCAATTAGTTTAAAATGCTCCCCGACAAAGTTGCTCAATTAATTTTGATCCCAAAAGTTAATGTCTATAATCAGTTCTCAGACTTAAAAATAAAATAATCACAGGATCCTTAAGAAGCTATCAGCACGCAAGTTTTTCTGGCATTGTTTGTATATTGTTTTATTCCGTATCAAATTGTAAATTATTTGTATATAGAGTATTTATGTATACATAGGTATATAGTCATCATTTTACAATTCAAGAAGTTTATAAAATCGGTAGGCATTTAGTGACGCTCTCGCTCTCTATTTTTGCAGCATAACACCGTTATTTTTTTTAACAAAACTAAAAAAATAAAACAGAAAATGTAGAAATGAAATATATTTTTTGTAAAATGTGATCGTTGGTTTCTCATTTTCTTTCTAATTTTGTTGCATTTATTGTTATTCTTATTATTTCAAAATACAGCTTATCATTAGTTTGAACAATAAAATTTTGATTATGAAAACGAATTAAATCCGATGGCCCCCATCAATTTCTTACTAAATTCGTAATGTTTGACACAACAATTCGCAGAGAAAAGTGGCTGATTAAGGGGGCCCCAGCTAGGATGAACAGTATCAAATCTATTAGCTATTGTCATGAAAACATTCGGGACGTACAAATATACAGACGTTATAGAAAGGAGCTCGTACAAATTTGGTAGGTAAATGTTAACTCTTAGGTGATTGAGGTTTAGTCTATGATTTGCCTTTGTTAAATTTACAATAATTTTATACTCGCGTTACAACAAAACGACCGAAGGGCCGAGTGTCTGCCCCTCGCTCTGCTTGATTTTGGGCGCAAATCGTAGGTAGTTCGTTAGGTTTTTATATATTTTTGGCAGGATGTAGTTTATGTTATGTTATATACGTTAACCGTTCAGCTCTGCTCGCAAATTATTGATTTTATAGTTATAGCTCGGCTTGCTTTCTCTAACCCTATCTGTGCCACACTCAACTGATTTCGCTCGCTAAGGACCTAATATTAAATTATACAAAATAAATAATCGAAACCATAATCATAATAGACAATAACTCCTTCTCGTTTCCGATTCGACCTCGGTGCGTACGAAATAAACGTTATGTTGCATTAGAGAAATTAAGCGGTAACTACGAGCTTCTACAAGCAGTTCTCTGTCTCTCCTCCGACCCATTCCGCCCATTTTCTTTAGTCCAGTCCTAGTTTTTCCGCTACACCTAGTCCTCGTCCTTCGCCGTTGCTGCTGATGTGGACGCGTGGTCATTGGCACTTTCGCTGGCTTTGCCGTCAGAGTTGGCTGCTGCCGCTGAAGCTGGCGCGGCATCGCTTCCATTCTTGTTGCGGGCATCCTCCTTGGCCTCGAGGGCGCGAATACGGTTCTCCTGCTTGACGATGATCGCCTTGAGTTTGCGGATCTCGTCCTGAATAGTGCGCAGGTCCTTTTCCTATTGACATTAAAAGAAATTGATCAGTCGCTTAATATTCGCTGCAATCCAAATACTCACCGACAAAACTGCTGCCGGCGGTGCACCCTCGTTAGCCTCGTTGTTGTTGCCGGACGCGTAGGAGCCGCCGCCCGCACTGCTGCTCGCTGCTCCGGAGCTGCCACTTTCGCCTCTGGGCTTGTTGAGAATGTTGCCCGCCTTCTTCGCCGGCAGTGACTTGTTGACCGATGAGGATACGTAGCCGCCCTGCACAATGGAAACGCGATCCTGATTAGGTGGATTAGAAAATCTGTTCGTTTCAGAACACAACAAGGAACAATAAACACAACAACAAGCGCCACGCGTGATCGCGTGCGTGTTAGGGCCAAGTGTATATGTGTAAGTTACTGCATCCAGGGAAAGGCTCTATAAGTTCCATTTCTGCCAGCTGCTTGTTTTTATGTGCAATTCAAGAAATGTAAATTTTATTTTAATGAGAATTAACCACTTTTCATCAATTTTCCTAATGTGTTAAGTGACTCGAATTACCAGTAAATGTTTTAAAATCTCTACAAATAAAATAATTTAAAGTCATGAACGGAATTCTCGAATATGTTCCTTATCTTCGTATGATTAACTAAGTACAAATATACAAAGTTATTTTATAAGGCCACATCAGATAGGGTAAAAGCACGTCCTTAAATTTAATATTAAGAGAGGTCTGTTATCAATGTGAGTGAGTGGACTGTGGCTGGGCGGACGAGACACAAACGTAGATAACGCAGAAATAAACGCAAGCAAAGCAAGCGCAGGCATCACACGCTGGTAGCCACCGACAAACCCAGGAATTGAGCTTCAAACGGAGCTCACGAGAAGCTCATTTGGAGACCCATTTTACTGGCAACAAAAAGCAATTGCAAAAGCCGTTGGAATACATTGGAGAAGGGGCGTCCACAGTGACAGCGGCTGCCTCATCGACTTCGAGCCGCATTGCCACCTGTGGACATGCCCCGCGAGCCGACATGCTGATATATATTTCCTATATCTTGTACGCTCTGATCGCCGGCAGAATGGCTGGCATGGTGGCCGAACCTTCACCGCATTCGGCTGGTAGCGCTGTATTTCCAACGCGGAGTAGATAGCTCAGTGGCTTCCCCACTGTGGTCACTTACTTTGAGCGAAAATGTGATGGGGTCCGCATCCTTGCCGTCGATCCACTCCTCCGCGGTGATGGCAGCATCTTCCGCTAGCGTGTCGGGGTAGAGATCCTCCTGGAAGAGATCCGATTTGCGCGGCACGGTCATTGAAATGACCTGGCACAGACCGTTGTTGTTCATGCGGTAGAACTTGGCCACCTCGCAGGTGGTGACATCGCAGCCGCGCTTGGGCATTAGGCCAATACCACGCTGCGGCTCTGTCGTCTGAAACGTGTTGATATAGTGCACGAACGGAGGCTCGGGCGTTACCTGTAAATCAAGAATGGGGAATTATTGTAAGCATTAAGTTAAAAGCAAGACCAAACTAGAATATAAATAGTTTTTGTTTTTTAAATCATATATGTCATTCGTTACTAACCTCAAAATACCTGATGACTGAGTCACCCTTGCCGCACAGGTATATCATGTTCGTGTCTGCATCGTAGAGCGGGAACATCACGCCGTTGGACGTATCTAGCTCCACCATGACGATAGGCTCGTTAAGGGCGTCCGGTGCGCGCAGGGAGTACTGGCGCTCCGAGCTGCGATTAAAGCCCGTGGTGAAGATCAAACCGTGGCGCAGGAAGATGGCCCTCGTGGCCTTAGAACCCTCGTGGCACATGGCTTCGCTATCCAGCTCACCGGTGCGCGGATCGTAGATGCGGATCTTCTTGTCCTTGCAGGTGGTGACCAGCTTGGAGCCATCCCAGTTGAAGCAGGCGCTGTACACGATGTCCGGGTGGGAGTCGATGTGGACGAGGATTTCGCCAGTGCCCACGTTCCAAATAACAACCTGCACCAAACAAAGAGGGTATTAGCAATAATTTATGAAGGGGAGGTAAACATTTGCTCACCTGATTGTCGGAGCCGGCGGTAAGCAGCACATTAAGGGCCGAGGGATGCCACAGCACCAGACCCACGCGACGTTGGTGGAAGACCAGGTCGACCACGGGTTCGGTGAGCGTGCGCGACAGTCCGCCGTCGGGTATCTGCCACACCTTGACAACACAGTCCTCCGAGCCGGAAGCGATCACATTGTCGTTGTGTGGACACCAGGCGATGTCCAGCACGGGACCCTTGTGTCCGCCCACCAACGGGTGGTCCGCCGCTATGCGACCAACCTGAAAGAGCCCATTAAATTCCAATTAGTACGGTAATCCAACGTGAACTAATTAATTGACGACGACGTCATCACCAGACACCAATGAAAAATTGCAACCTCGCGACCCATTGGCCCAAATTGTGAATTATTATTTATAGCCGACTCCGGCTGCATTTGGTTCTGCTATATTCGCTAATCTGCGGCGCAAGCATTTCATAATTCCAAACTTCATGCCGTCTGCTACCAAGCATTGCGTTCAAATTATAGAAAGTCTGCAGGTGGATAACTTTCGCCATTAAACTGAGGATAGAAGCATATTATCGAAAAAACAATATCGACATAATGGACCAAAATTAAATTAGTTTCATAGACTGTGTTTAATTTTTTCAGAATCGCATTCTTCTCCCTGTTAAATACATTGTTAAAATCTATGTTGTAATTAACTCTATGATAACTTATTCTTTCTTAGTTTTGGTTTAAAATCCTCAAAGGTGTGAAATTTATATGCTTGGCAAGCAAAACCGCTTCCCACTCGTTATCAGCCCTTTTAATAGGGCCTTTGGCACAGAAGTAAAATATATTAAATTGACGGTTTTTATATATTTTTAGAATGAATACTTTTGTTGGAGTCATTTAGATTTATAAAACATTTTGTTGACGTCCTGTATAATTTTGTGATTACCATATTTAAGGCTCTATTTTGTTGAAAATCATTTTAAACATCAGTCGTTGTAAGAAACCAGCATTTTTGGAAATCATATATTTTTGAAATACATTTGTAATTCAATATATTCATTTGGTTTAACCTTTCTCTATTTGGTTTTTCTTCGATTAATATAAAGTATAGTGATAGAAAAAATTGCGAACCTAACATTATTTATTAAAAGAAATTGGTTTTTGAATAGCTTCAATTTTGATTATTGATTAATTCTATAAAAAAGGGATAAAATTGTTATTAAATTTCAACCAACTTTAAACATTCTGCAAGAATATATATTATATTGCACTTTCAATTTCAATATATGTACATATATAATATTTAGACATAAAAGTTTACTGTATTTGTTAGGCAAAGTAATAAAAAAAATGTTCAGTATTACAATATGATTTTCAAAAACTTCTAAGCATATAAATCTATTTTAGTCTTTCAAGAACTTTTGCTTGCTCAATTCCACACTTGCCAGATGCGGCCAACCTTGGCGACTTGATGGATCTCACTTATCATCTATCTGTGCCCCGCTCTCCAACTGGCCAAATCCAGTACCCATAAAGTAAGTAAAATAGGGCGTGTGAAAGCCGCTCTACATAGAAATCGTCACTTAAAGAAGAAGCAGCTGCTTAACCGTAAAGAAGTCAGCGAAAAAAAAAACGCTTATAGTGGCTGCCGCGCGTTTTGCATACAAATTTGTTCCAATTAGAACGACACCCGGCCTGCCTCCAAATACGTTTTGACCAAAAGAGGAGCATCGGAGGGGGATCGGGGGAATCGGGAGGTTAGACTGCCACCCACACTTGTGCCGGAGCTGCGGAGACAGCGACAGCTGAACGGAAGCTCATGTGGCTCGATTTGGAGCACACTGGCCAAATGATTTTGGAGAGTGAAAATGAAATTTATTAGAATATAAACAATTATTTTATTGCGGAATAATACGTCGGGCAGAGTGTGCGTTTCATTGCAATGATTTGCCCAACTATCATTTTTGGTTTTCATCTATCTGGCTGCTCCTCCATCTCTCTCTAAAATTAGACGATTTTGTTTGTCATGTTGGCTCTTGGCCAAATTACAAAAGTGCGCCAGCTAAGAGAACCGCTGTTGCGAGAGTAGCAGAATTCATAACTATTTATAAATACATGTGAGATTGGGGGGAGTCATCCGAAATCCGTCCACGTCACTTGCGACGTGGCAACAAGCCCGCAAATGGCCGCAAACTTTATGCCAAAAAGAGCCCTATAAATAGTTGGCCATTGTCTTATTTAAAAATACCCCACCAATCTGGCGGCGTTGGGGGAATACACTTATAGACCAATGCAGCTATAATAGGTCCGGTGGGGCACTCACTTTGTTGTGTGGCAAGACGATGAAGGCACCGCCGCCCGCCGACTCCACGATGATGGCCAGGAACTTGGGATTCACCGCGCAGAATGTGGAGTCCCAGCTGGACTTGGATACCCGTATGTTGTCGTAGCACTGCTCCCGCTTCAGGGCCTGTCCGTAGACGTGGCGGAATTTGGAGCTGCGTACTACACGAAACGACATATTGATGCTTCAGTGGCTTGGGTCAGTGGTCAGTCCTGAGTTTCTCTACGGCTACTCTGGAATGAAAATGGAAAGAAAAAAAATTCAAAGGTTATTAGCCAATATAAAACTATAACCAAATATACTCTAAAAAGTTAAGAAATTCTGATGAATTTTTAAATGATTTTCTCCACAGGTTTTTTAGCTATTGCGAACTCAACATTTCGAGTTACAAGCGACGCATAAACCCACCGACTCGTATTGTTATTCGCTTTCAGCTTCGCTCGCTGATGTATTAACTTAACGCGTTTTTCTTTCACCGCGCTTCGCAGCCTCGATTAGTTCAATAAATTTACATATGCTAATATCGCTTGTTGCGAAAATCAATGAGCTTTCCCATTCACAACTCGCTATTGACGAGCTGACTTTGTCCGCGAATGGTTGCATCAAAATTGGTTATGGCATCAATATCGGCGACTGAAATCGCCGGAAATAGGGGCAAGGCACCTAGAACGCTTTCACCTGCCACCTGCCACAAATGGCTCCACTTTCGTTAATGAACGTGTCGAACTATCAGTTGGCCAGCAAGACGAACCCCTTTCTTTTATATGACATCATACTGCTGAAATACTCACTCCAGTAATAAATAGCCTCCCAGCACGTAAGTTATGGCAGAGTAAAAATCTAACCCGAATTTAAACCCGAACCTTAACCCAAAGCCCATACCTAACACTCTGAGAGACTTCTAGATAACTACGTGCTGCGAACTGCCGCAGAAATCATTTCTGGGTTGGGCCGAGGCCGAAAGGATGACTAAACTTTGCCTCCGACCAGCTTTCGTTTTTAATCAGAAAAGTTCCATAAAAATGTTTTACTTATTTTTGCTTTATTTTGCTCGAAGATATTCATATTTATTGCAAGCACTAAACTTTGTCATTGACCCCTTAAAAACTGGCACCAAGGCAGACCCCGATAGTTGATTACTTTCCATATGAATAAATATTTTGGGCCACAAGGTGGGCACCGGGTTACTTTGTTCTTGGGTGAGTGTTGGCGGAGGGTCTGTCCTATCGACGTGGCCCCTCCGACTGATAAAGAAATATCAGCCCGGAGTTGGCCAAACACCACAGAGATAATGTTAAGTGCTACGCCTATATAGTCTAAAGCGTTGCTGAAATGTTCGGCACCAATCGGAATATACTCCAAAGCGATATAGTCAGAATTTATCTATATCTACGGCGTATGTATGCGCTGTTATTTATGTGTTTATATGCCAAACACCTTCGTTTGCAGGCGGGAAAATTTTTGTTTCGCAGCTGAAGGTCAAACCTATTAATAGAAAATTAAATCATCTTAGGCGAAATTAAATTTTCATATACAAACACAAGCGCACGATGCTCGTAGGAGCGTTGTAAATCGCATTTGATGTGTTTATTTATTTTGTTGGCATCGCTGGCATCTGCCATGCCTGAGTTATCATCGTCGGCCCAAGCAATCCCACTCCCCCGCTTGATCCCAATTGCATTCATAATTACAGTTCGCAAATGCCAAAAATGTGGCCTCTTCGGCATCAAGTCGACTTGAACTCGCCTTTGGTTTAATCAGCGAATAGAAAAGACAGCCATACAACGGAAGTTGGTTTCAGAAATCTCTCTGAACAATGAAAATCGCATAAGTACTTGTTCCCGAGTGTTGTTATGCGGGTGGTGTGATTGACATCACAATCTATTACAGTGGTACAAACTAACACTGGAACTACATATTTTACAATCCATTTCTACTAAATTGATACTACTTTCAAGTCATAAAACACATCTATTCATAATAAATTACTCATTATTGTTGATATATTTTATTGTCAAGAATAAAAACCGACTGCTGGCAATATTCCTTATGAAAAGTAACCGTTCGATGTCATCCAACTTTCAGGAATCACTGTCTTCCAGTCGTGTTAATCGTTTGACAATGCCGTTTCTGTGGGCCCTTCAGCAATTTGTGTTTGCAATCGTGCAAGATGCAACCGTTTCTCAATTGATGCAATCGCAATGGTCCAGCGATCGGGAACTGGCCGCAAATTGACTTAATGCTTGATTGCAAATCTTAGCGCTTTGTCGACACGTTGTGTTCACCGGCCAATTCTAATTGCTAACAAATGCTGTCGTGTTGTTCTTGTTTCTTGGCGGCGTGACTAAAACGCAGTGAGGCCCCTTTTGCACCTCGCCCTCGACTGACTTGGGTGTGCAGTCAATTAAGCGTAGTACGAGTAGTTTCCAGTGGCAGTGCAATGGGGCGTGAGCAAAAAATAAAACAGTGTTTGGGTAAAAATAAAGTGGTGATGGAATGGGACACTGCTCCAATTGTGGCGACGGGCGCCGTTATGATGACATCTCCATTCCCACATACACTCAAAAAAGGATTTTTATAGTGACCACTGCAAAATTAGTAAAATTGTCTTTAATTTTCCAGAAAGCAAATACATCCGGAGGTTAGAAGCATTTTTTTAAGTCTTTATCCTAGAAGTTCTTAGAAGTACTGTTGACTAACTACAATTGAAAGATATGGTAAAATGTTCTTAAAAATAAAATTTCTTTTTAAGTAATCGGCTCTTTATGTTCTATATTACACTTCCTTGTTGGAACATTGTTAAATGCTGATATCTGGTTTATTTTCAAATTATATACATACAATTTTTTTTTATATTTTTTTAGTTTAGTATTAGCTTATTTGAGACTTGAATATCAAATGGTTACTATACTGGAATAGATTGTAATATAATTTTAATTACTTTTTAAATATATAATTTTAAAATGCTGGTAAATGATCCCAAATAATCATCATGAAACTGATCATTTAACATATCAATTGCTCTTTAAGTCACAAAATGGTAACATTTATTCCCAGTGCATCGCTGCAGCGACACCTAATCAGACGGCCAATGATCACAGTGCCATACAGTGCATGAGTCATCCGTGATAAGGGGGCCCACTGTTTATCGGCTGTCGGCTGCATTGGAAACTTTCGCTGTTCGACTCGACTTCATGGTGATGATGATGTCATTGATGCTGGCGCAACGTCATTGGATATGCAGCGATGTGTGTGCGAAGGTTCATCAAACTGCTTGAATAGTGTGCGTGCCTGACGGCGATTAGCCAAAGATTTTGACAAAAAGCGCGCAAGTGTCGCGGCAGACTCGCTGGCTTGTTGCACAGTGGGTGTCGTTGCAGCCCGAGTGAAAGTGGAACTCGGTTGCTAAAATTAACCACAGGCATATGCAGTGCCCCGCCCGACACCCTGCCTCTGCCCCTCCCCATCGAAAGTGGCGCTGACTTTTGTTGCTGTCTTAATTGCTGCTGGTTCTTCTTACCCCTTGCGCCACCCCACATCGCCTCCCATTTGTTGCTATTTTTTGCATTTCCATTTGCGCTTAGTCAGACTGAGCGGCAGTTGTGGCTGCTTTTATACCCTAAGTATTACGGGTATTTCGGTTTATATGTGTTTATGATACGCATTGTAGAGCAATTGGTAAAAAGATTTTAATTTTCCAATAAAACGAGGAGGACTAATGCAAATTATACTTTGGAGAGGAAAATTTTGTTTCGGAAATATTAATTTAAATATGCAAGTAAAAACATTTCCTAGTTCTCTCCAAACTGACTACAGAAATAAGCATGTCAAATTTGATTTAAATTTTAAGTATTTAACTTGTGCGTGTTACAATGTTCATTGTCACTTTACTTTTAGTTAAGAGAATAAAAACAAAGTATCTACAACATTATATGTACTTTAGGACGGTCCAAATTACATATACATTTTAAGTTCATTCTCTTATCCGCTGATACTTGCGGTTTGCTGCATTTAAGAGATACCATTATGCATTTTTAGGAAAACATGCGTTTTAGGGAATTCCAAGTTTATCGCTCATACGCACAGTTACCTTTAATTAATTGAATTAATTGACACTACGTGGGTAAGTCTACGTGTGAGTACTTTTTACGTCTAAAACTGTAAATAAATTTTTTTGATTTTAAGACAGTGTAATTACGGATCCCGTTTTGGACCACTCTAATCTACATAAATAAGATACTTCAAGTCACAATTTTATATGATTGATGATTAACCGTCAATACAGTAAGAAATACGACAACAATTTATACGGTACCAAAAATGTTATCTGTGTACTGCTCTGTGGAGTTTTTAGCCAATTGGAATGTTTGTTGCTCGCCTAATCAGCGTTCATACGCGCGCCTGTTTTGCGATCTTGACCAAACAGCTGTTGGCGGCTGAGTGATCACGACATTAGCTGACGCATAAACGCGATCTGCGAGCGTGGAAGTGCCAGTGTGTGTGTGCTTCATTCCAGTGCATTTTTAATATTTTTGTCACTAATTGGTGTTGGCTAAGTGTCGCTTGTAAACCCATTTGGGGAGCAACCGAAATAGCTGTGCGTGGGGGCGTATGCTGTGCTCTCTCTCGTTCGCTCGCACTTTCCAAGACGCCGCTGGAGGTCGCTTGTTTTTCACACTTGCTCACTCGCACACACGAAATGAACCGTAATTCTGTGCTCCGGCCAACTGGAAGCCACGTTCATGGCTGACAGATATTCCGCATTTTAAATTGCAGCCTATTTTGGCGCCCTCAGCACGCACTTCCCCTTCTCCTCACCGCACCTTTGCATCCAGTAACTTGTTGCTTCTGCCAGCAACAATTGGCACACTCTCTCCTCTCCCCCTTTCTCTTACTTTCGCAGACCACCGCTCTCCCTTGCTCTATTCCACACCCGCGCAGTGTAAACAAGTAAGAGCCGGAAAAGCCTCACAAATTACAGCAAAATGCGAGAAAATATAAAAAAAACAATTAATACAATCAAGTGCGATACAACCAATTCGCCTGCGAGTTGTTTGATTTTTTTCGCTCGTTTTTGCAACGTTTTTCGGCACTGGCGCTGGCCAAAGACGCTGCTTCGCTCTCTTTATTCCCTTTTTTGGGTGTTGGACTCATATAACACGGTGCGCGAGAGGGAGAGCAGATGCCTGAACTTTTATAGCGGTACTCTTCACATGCATTGCGTTCGCCGCTCCGCTCGCACAAGAAAGCACGCACACTAGCACACGCACGCCACACTCGGCGCACACACACAGTCGTACGGCGGCTGTCGCACTTATTTTTTACCGTGATTTTTAATGATTTTGTAATACGCGCGTTTATTACTTAAGCGCCGCATTTGCATCGGCCACTTGCAACTTTGCCTGGAAAATGCACAGCTGCCGCTGACACCGAGCAGATTTATTTATATTCCGCAAAAATATCCGCCGTGATTCATTGCTCATGACATTTAATGTGGCAGCACAAAAGCGGCTGCAAGAAACCAAAATACCACTCACTTTTTTAATCACTCACTGGGGCCAGCGCATTCAGCGAGGTATTTCGACTTAAGATTTTGCACACGACTGGGAATTTAAGGCACTACTTCAAGACTTTTCAGTCAGCAGAAAGACGGGACGAGTATAAAAATGCCGACGAGAGCGCGCAGAGCATCTAAGAGCAAGTTCGACACTGTTGTTCGAGGCGAGTTGTTGATATCAGCGCAGTTCACTAGGCGTTTGCGTTTATCCGCACAGTGTTGCCACCTGCGGCGAAGGCGGCCGGCAGAAATAGCTAAAACTAGCTTGGGTTCATTCCATAGATGCCCAGATCTGATAACACGAGCTTTATCTGGGTTTTATTATCCTTAAGTCTTTTTCTCAGTTATATGCTGAAATAACATTTTGTGCTAAACTTTTCCTTACCTAAGTTACACAAAATAATTTGCTCCCTTCTAACTTACCTATTAAATTTTATACACCTTGAAAAAAAACTGTGCTTAGTAATTAGGTACCGAAAATTGTTTCGTATTTTAGAATTTGCTTAGTATCGATGATCGATCTTTAAAAATGCTTACACAATATATTATAATTCCAATGCAAGTTTGAGGTGAGCTAATACAAACGTATTTTAATAAGGTCCAGTGGATATGAAAATAAAATTAAATTTGTTTTCAATTCAAAGTAGATTCAATGAAAATCAAATTATATTTTAATATAATTAAATTAGTACCTTCTAGCTTACCAAGATGTTTTCCTTTTGTTGCTTTCCTCCAGCAGTAACTCAGTCCGTCAATAATCGATTTCCATTATCTCTCTTTGTTCACCATAAATAACACTGGATATATTTATATGCCTCGCAACTTTTGTGTTTTTAAAAAGATACCAACAAATTGTATCTTCAATAATTTTTCCATAATTAGCTTAGGACTATGATGCGATAGAACGTGGCAAAAAAAATGTTCGATTATAAAAACCTTAAAGCCTTTTTTAATCCAACAAAAAGTAAATTAAAAAATTATTTTATTCGTATATAAAGGCCGGCACTCACAATTTATTAAGCATTTCCGTAATTTATGAAAGTCAAAGATGCCTTACTTCTATGAATTGCATAGGTGTAAAAATATTGCCCTACAAGCTTTTGGAATTTGTTCCTGAATGTTATGAGATTATAATTTTCAATATGTTAATAGTAGCCAGAAGAACTAAAAAATGTATATTCAGTAATTATTTAACTCTTAAAATAGTAGGATTAATAAAATGGTACTCCCATGTAAAACAACATATATTTTATTTAATAACAATAGCTTGGTGAAAGGCGCTTAGAAATAGCCAAAAAAGTTGGCAGCAATCATTGCTGGTATTCGCCTAATGCGTTGATGTACTGCATCCCTGTCGCGAAGTACGGTTACGCTAAACAGCTGATGGCCCGCGACTCATTTGAATTTCCGGATGGCTTTCTTCACGACCTAAAATTAGCCACTTTTAATTGTAATTTTATTGGGTTCAGATGTTACAAACCTTTCTTCGGCATTGTCAAGCAGCGCAGTACCTCTCCAAGTGGATATTCCAGTACAATTGCCACGAAAGCAGCCACAAATTGCGTAAGCATAAACACACATAAAACATTGGACAGCTAAGAACAAGTTAAAATTACGTACAAGTTAAGGTTACTGAATTAAAATGCTTACTAGGTAAAAGGTGGACACGTAGACCGGCTGCCTAAAATATCCCGCCACTATTCTCAGGATGACAATGTGCCAGAGGAAGGACTGAAATGAGATTCTTGCCAGTGGTCGAAAAATCGGTAAGGTGCAAAACTCATAGGCAATTCCTGTCGAAGATTGGTAAGTGATTGCAGTCATAAATCGAAATACCTTATATAACCCACCTCCCACCTTGCAGCACATGAGGCTCACGAATCCCGCGCATATCAGCAACCACAAAATCTTGTGAACACCCGCATACAAGGCTAGCCAAAGGGATGGCTTCGGAAAGTCCTGGTGGATGAAGATGTAGCCCGAGAAAAGGACTCCCAACGTGGCCGGCACAAGGAGCCATAAGGTCAGCTCGAACTTTAGATGTCCCCGGAGCACTAATCCTTGGGGTCGCTTCTTTAGGTAATAATGACCGCACAGAAACCCGAACAGGTATCCTCCCAAATTCGTGTAGAATGGCGGATACATCTGGTAAAATGTGTCCGAATGCCGGAAGTACAAGTAGCGATAGGTTCTAAGAGTATAATAATATCATTTAGCTGAGAAGTATATCCAAAATTATGAAGACCCACTCCGGACGAAGGTGATAGACAGCATCCAACTCAAGAACGTAAGTCAATATAGAAGGTACTGCGAAGGCAAGCACTAAAAGAGTTATATAGATGGGCCTCGTTAGCTTGGGATGCCTGAAAGTAGACAGTTAATGGGGTATCCACAAAAGTGGAAATGTCTTACTTCTTGCTTATAACAATTACGATCAGAAAGAGCTCAAAGAGTTGCATGTCCGCACCCAAGTACCAGGTTTGATGGGAACACTAAAAATATAACGGGAAAGCTAAATTTTAAGCTCAAAAGAACTAACTAGATTCGATTTTAGTCAAGCTATGCAATTTCGATTAGATTCATATTAGATGAAGAAGGAAATCAACAAATGTGGCGATAAACCCTCTGTTGGTTTTGCGCTATCTCATTAACATGAATAATTTCTTTTGTAAAGAGTCTTAATTCCAATTGTGATCCAAGTGTAATTCGACTGGAATTTATCTTTTCTCAAAACGATTTTAAAACATACACTGTCCTCCAACATGTGGTTGGTCACAAAGAATACATTCTTCCACCAGTTTCTTCGGCAAAAAAAACGCTCAGCCTCTGTCAGATGCCGCCAAAAAGGTCCGTTTTGGAGGCGCACCAGCAGAGTTCCATTAAAGAGTATGAGGGCGACGAGCGAGGGCAGGAGTCTAAAGTATCTGTAAAAAAACACACGGAAGTACACGCGAATGCAATCAAGGGTCCCTGTCTCCGGGTGAATCAATTGGCGTTCGGTGAAATTAACGTAGAGCAAAAAGCCACTCATTACGAAAAATATCTGGATGACAAGGCTGCCGTTCTGAAATAGCGATGTCTCGATCCTGAAGAGATACTGTTCGTAAAACTCAGGATTTTCTATTGGGACTGTCATGAAGACCATTAGCGTATGTCCCATGATTACCACGAATACGCCGATCACTCGGAACCCGTCAAAGAAGCTCACATCGCGCGAGAAATCCGTGCCATGGGGCTCAGTTAGTCGATAGTAATTACGGACTATTGAGAAGGAGGTGAGGAGCTGCTGTCCTGGTGGCAAACCAAAATCAACATAGTAACGATTGTTTCCCCGGCAGTTATTATACACTTACTGCGACAATTTGGTGCCTTCCTATAGAAATTCTCTGTCTGGTCCGAATTTGTCTTGCTGAGTCGGCAGTCGTAGATTGAGGAACACAAAGTCAGCAGGAGTACGCAGATCAGAAGAACATAAAAGGTCAAATCGAGCCCATCTGAGGAAACCCACTCTATTAGTTCTAACTTGTTCCACTGACCTCTCACGGGAAAAAAGGCAGGTGTGCTAACTCATTATATTACTAACTACTTAAAAAAGGCTAAAAGAGGTGCATAGAGTGTATGAAATAAAATGTATCTCTAGATACTACAGTAATCTTTACTCTACTTGCCATGCTCCAAGTGCTCATCCGCTTGCACACAATATTCGATGAGGCTGCGAGTCTGAAGCGAAAACTCCTCAGCGAACTTTAGATTCAGGCAGCTGTTAACCAATTCTTCGTTGAGGAGGCGCTTATCCGCATCCGATGGTCGTTGGTGAACCTTGTCGTAGTAGGAGATCAGTTCCTTGTCCAGAAATTTACTTCTGTCGTACTCTTCCGACTGAGATATGTTTATCAGACTTTGCTTGCAGTTCTCTAGACACACACCCCTAAACACGCGATCATGTCGAAAACGATGCTTCGAGTCCTGCGAAACTTCGTCGATTTGGTGCCACAAAGTAGAACTTTCATTGCGTACGATCTCCACATATACCAGGCAGTAGTTACCAGAAGACCTATCCAGGCAGAGATCGTAGTCATCCAGCTGATGCAGGGCGGGCATTTGTCTGTATAGGGTTACTGCAGATGGAGCTCTCCCTAAATAATCCCTTCAATATTAACTTGCTGCTACTTACAATTAAATGAGCCAGATAAAAAGTTTCCTTGACCCAAAGACAATATCGACAGAAGGATCCCGAGTTGCAGCAAACAGAGCATACTTAGAGTGTCTCGTCTAACACTTGAAGATGAACTATTGGGAATGTTTGCTCGATTTGCTATACTAATTTAACGATAGCGTGCCGAACCGTCAGGCCTGAATGCGTTTTTCAAAGGTATTTCTATAAATTACTTCGACTTGACGAAATCACAGCTATTAAAAGGCAGTAGTTTATTTTATTTCGTTGAACTTAAATTTACTTCCTCCAAATCTTCCGATTATTTAGCCCAAATGTCGGCCAGTAAAGATCGGGAGATCTATATTGGACTTCACGTAGAAAACGAAGGGATGATTAGCAACGAAGTGTTTGCGTCTGAAACCAGCCACTGGCATCACCCGGAATCCTAGACCATGAAAGCGATGGAGAATTTAGAACATTGTGCTTTGGACTTTATTGAGGCTACATGCTTGGTTAGTACAAAAATGTAAAGTGTATATATAAGATCATCGATTGTGCGCAGTCTTAGTCTTATTAAATTTGGTTTGCGAATATAGATTGCAGTGACGCCCGTATTGACAAAGTTAATTCTGAATGGATGCTCGGCGTAGGTCATCAATATACGACTGGCGATCACATCTGGAAATGAAATGGACATGAGTTACACGAATCGCATGGTTGGCTTTGTTAGTAAAATATACCGAGGATTATTTAGAGTTTCTGTATGCTGCCAGCAAAAAGAACAGTTGAGTCCTTATTAAGAATGTAGAAGTTAAATGGATGATCGACATAGAATCGTTTCGGATCCGGCTCAGGCATGGGCAGCGAACAGCGCATCATGACCATACCTGTAAATTGAGATGACAGTGGAATTTAGTTTAATGTACGTGAGACCATTGGTGGATGTGAACGGAATGATAGCATCACAAATTTGATGACTAAAGTTTTAGTATTTTTCCCGCAAATAGAATTGTTGAGTCCTTATCGATAATGTAAAAGTTATATGGATGCTGGACATGGAATCGGATGGGTTCCGGCTCAAAAGAGAGCATCGTGGCATAGCACATGACCATTCCTGAAATGAACATGAAAGTCGGCGCTTTAGCATTTAGTGTTTCTTTTAAGGCATATGGTCGTGCGGGGAATGTTCGGATATCTTTGGTAATGTCTGTATATGCTGCCCAGGCATGATTGTTGCTAAATTAATTGTGGTTTTGTCATTACAGGTTACCCCATTTTACACAAATGCAAAAATCTTCTTGTTAAACAAAAGGTTGCCTTTATTAATTTGATAAGGTACCATCACAGCTCATCATGCTCGCTGGAGACGGAGTCATTCTCCTCGAGCCGCACAACTGAGCCCCAAAACAGGGGCAGGTCCTCCTCATGGACAAGGGCATAGATGAATGGATGATCTGCGAGGAATTCAATAGGTTCCTCAAGCGAAATAATGGCGCGTTTCTTACGCATCACAATGCCTGCGGGATGGGAAGAAGACAACACAGACACGGATGAACAATTGGGACATGCAGAAGATGAAAGATGCTAATGCAGTACGAAAGAACTTGGAGCACTTACCCGTAGCAGCCGCGGCTTCTGTTCCCTCTTCGTTCACATCGATAAAGGCCTTGTGTATGATGGCCGACACCTTCAGAGGCTCGGGGCTCTGCAGCATCTTGCCGAACTCCGCTTGGTCGGTGAACATTTTCGACATGCCCAGCTAGAGGAAAGATTCAAGAGACTTTAGTCGCGGTTCCTTCTTAATGCCTCTAAAACTAAGCTCACCTGCTGGAAAACGTCCGTCAACTCCACTTGGAATTCGGCCTTGAACTTGGGCAACTTCACTACCACCTGAGTCTTGTGCAGCGCCTGTGTAATAAGCGAGAGAGGCGTCACACGCAGCTTTTCCTCCAGGGAGGACAAACCCGTCTTGCTGTTGGGCAGAACGATCAGCATGGAGAGGTCAGAGTCCTTGTAGGGCAGCTCTAAGGCCGAGGCGTCCAGCGCCGGCAGATCGGCATAACGGAACCGCTCCTTCAAACCCATCATCGGAACCTGGACGCTGCGTGCTGCATCCAGGTGAAAGGTGTCCGGGCGGGTGGCATGCTTAGGGAACTGGTGCTGCCAGGTGCCCTTGAAGTGGATTGCGTTCACCAGAACCAGTCGAGAGTTGGCGTCCAGTGCGCTGGCCGGCACCAGGTCTTTTATTAAGTGATTGGTGCGCTGCTCCACCCAGCCGTTTATGGTGGCCGCCGCCTGGGCGCTTTGGGCAAAGTTGACGCTCTGCGCCGCCGAGAGGAACTCCTTGGTCAGCAGCTGGTCAAACTCCTGGCGCAGCGGATGGCCCTCCATCACGAAAATCTTGTTGGCGATTCGCAGGACCTGGCTGTTCTGGTAGGCGGCCAATACTTGGTTGAAGCTGTGGGCGATTTGGCCCGCGTCGCTGGAGGCCAGACCAAGGCCATGGTCTAACTGAGTGGCCGTCTCGCCATCTGCACCAATCCGGGCCATCGCCGCACACGTCTGGATGGAGAAGGGCGAGAAGACGATGTTCTCGCCGGGCTTCTGCGCCGACAGCTTTTCGTAGACGTTGATAGAGAAGAGGGCGAGCCGGCGGGCGAACTCCTGGTGGGCGGCGTCGACCATGGTGACGTCAGATGAGCGGACCAGTGGATAGGGGGAGAGAGTCAGGCAGAGCAGTGGGAGCAACCAGCAAGCTGTAAGTATCCAAATCAACCGTGGATAAGATGTGCTTGGTTTCATAAATTTATGTAATTGCAGTGGAATGATGAGTCACCTCCACGAATGGTGTTCACTATATCTTTCGGGTATGCCGTTTCGCTGGGGATTCACAAGGCTTGGCTTATCAGGAACGTTTATTTACAACCTGAACCAACTGCTGATTCTAAATGAGCTTTCTCCAGTGCCTTCGATTTTGTACTTTTCAATTTCTGTTTACTCAAGCGGGTACCGCCCTCGACTTATATGATGTGACTTTAGAGCGACAACTGAATTTCTCAACGAGCGTCCAATGTTTTTATGCCCGCATATCTACATATTCGACCACAACGGCTTTTGCTCTTAAATTCGAATTGCCAAACGAGTTTTTCTCTTAGTACGACTAAAATTCTCTGCTTTCCGCGCTCTCTGTTTTGCTTGCCCTCTTTACATTTATATCTTGTGTCGCTCTCTGTATTGCTTGTTTGTATTTTGGCTTATCGAAAAACTTACCAAATAGTCTTAGAGGATTCTCCATTTTTCAATAAATTTCGCTCTATTACTAATGAGTTTTGATTTCTGCGTAAACTTTGTGTTTGAAGCGTGCGTTGTCGACTGCCCTGACTTAAAACCACAACTAGTGTCTGCGTCCTTATCAGTCAAAGCTCTGCTTAAGCTTGTTTTTGTTTTTGAGAATACTTTTCAGAACACTGATAACGGAAGAACGCTGAAATTGAATTATTATTCCAGCTGAATATGTAGTCGAAAATTTGTCGGTTTAGACGCGTTTGCCCTGCTTTTGGCCATTAGCTTCTAAAACTAAAAGTGTTATATACCATTTACATACATACGACAGTCAGTCGATACTAGTTACAGTAGTTGAAAAAGGTGCGGAGCTGCTGTCCTCGTGGCAACCCAAAATCAAAATAGTTACGGAGCTTTGGTGCCTTCCCAAAAAAAGTATCTGTCTGCTCCGGATTTGTCTTGCTGAGTATTTGGTCGATGATTGAAAAACAGAAAGTCTTAAGCTAATTAAAAAAGCATAAAATGTTAAATCGATCTCATCTGCAATTCATTTATAGTTACTAGTTTAATCTTTAATCGCGAGTCGGAAGCGAGAACTCCTCAGCGAACTTAAGATTCAGGCAGATTTTAACCAACTCTTCAAGCAAAATGCGTGCATTCGCATCCGAAGGCCGTTGGCGAACCTTGGCGTAGGAGCTCACTTCCTTGCCCAGAAATTTTCTTCTCTCGTCGATTTGGAGCCACAAAGTAGAACTTGCATTGGGGAGCATCTCTACATATACCAGGCAGTAGCTACCAGTGGGCCTATCCAGGCAGAGATCGTAGTCATCCAGCTGATGCAGGGCGGGAGTTACCGACCAGTCGGTAGGCAACGAGCCTCCAGACCTCCCAGAGCTACCCTAGAAATGGTACGCTGATTGGGCGACCACTTGAAGGAACATTTGGATGCAATTATGTTGCAATCTGAAACATTGTTTAAACCCGGCAACGACCCACTCGAGTCGTTACCCCGCTTACGCTTTGCTGACATCGCATCAGGATGCCCCGACCCCTCGCCACTGAAAATATGACACAAGCAGACACTTCGAACGGATTGCTGGATAAACATTCTTTATTTTCATCTTGTATTAGTGTATAAGCCCTTATGTATAGTATATAAGATTTTATGTACATTTTCGGCAGCGGCGGCTTCTCGACCACCGCTGAACAATATATGAAATCAGTCAAGAAATTCACTTCAATCGTCGAAGACATTCTTACTCTATTCAAATTGTATTATTTTCCAACCATTTATAAATATTGAAATCAAAAATACCAATTCTGTGGACTCATCAACGGATAACTGGAAACCCCTTGGACCACCACTGACCTGGCAGACACTATAACTGGTGCAGCCGAGCAACGAACTAGGTTGGATCGTATCATGATAATTACACTGTAAGAAAAACACACACACAGACTAAGGTGAAGTATTCTTGTGAACTAAAGTACAAAAACAGAAATGCCAAGTTTTAAATCGTGAAAAATATACATCCGTGACAAATAACATACAACATGGGAAAGCAAGCAAAAGAAAGTTAAAAAAAACAAATCAGATCCGTACAGGGAAAGAAAGAAAACAAGAAATATATATATTTGCAAAAATTTTAAAAGAAAGAATTGGGCAGTTAAAAATTAAAAAAAAAGAAAATACTTCAAAATGCCGTACCTTTCGGCAGATCATAATTTTAGAAAAATTTGTGTTACTAAAAAAAATATATATATATCTCTAGTGGTCATTTTTTCTTTTAAATTAAAAAGGAAAACAAAAAGAAAATATATATAAAAAATAGAATAGAAAATAAAAATTAATATAAAAAAAGATGAATGAAAAAGAAGATTTTTGAAAATAAAAATTACACAACTATATTGAGAGAATATGTATTCAATGAAATAGTTCTACAATCCCATCGCGGGTTTTGTGCGTCAGTTACAAAATTTATGGCAAATTTTGTAAGCTGGTTTCATGTCTGAATGAACTCTAAATTATATAAAATAAAATTTAGTGTCCAATAATTACGAAACAATTCTTGCAATCCCATGGCGTGTTTTGTAAAGGGTCATCAGTATCAAGGAAATTCATGTGAATTTCATTGAAAGCTGGTTTCAATTGGCACTTAAAGTCTTGAATATACAAAAAAATATTTTTGCTTATGAATATATATTAAAAAGATATCAAAAAGAAAAAATTAGAAAAGAATACTAATTTTACACCTTCACAGGTAATTGCCACAAGAGTACAACACCTGAGGAACACTACACCACAAGACGCATCAACACACTAATTACTTAAGTATTATACAAACAATAAATTTAAGAACACACATAGAACACAAGACGCTAAGAGCTGAATTGTTTATCCAGAAATAATAATAAACTAATTTAAAGCCGAATATTTCCAAAGTCAAAAGCCTACTTCCAACTAACAAGATTACTACTAGAGGCGAAAGTAAGAAACAGATCCCTAGAAACAGATCACCTCAGGAAAATTCTCTATCCCTAAGACCAATTATTACACCATCACCCGTGACCATGGACACTAGTAACAATTCCTCACCGTCCCACCTCAGCACGGCGGTTGTCAACCCTGCTGAATTGTTTGCCTCAATGAGGATCCCAGACGTAATTCGCTATTTACCTTCATACTCCGGGGACCCATTTACACTAAACGAGTTTATCAACAACGTTGAGGAAATAATTCTGATGATCAGGGGCACGGATCAGACTCCGTATGGCCAAATGTTGCTTAGAGCTATTAGACAGAAAATAGAGGGAAAGGCGAATGAGGCAGTCATCGCCTCAGAAGCGAACTTAATTTGGGACGACATTAAGGACGCACTAATAAGACACTGTAGGGATAGGAGAGACGAAGGGACTCTAATGACGGAACTGTATAATTTGAAACAAAAACAACTGTCTCTACAAAGATCTTACGACCAGATTACCAGGATCAAGTTAGCTTTGTTCAGAGTAATCGAAACAGAGGAAACCGAACCTCTTGCAATTAGAGTTAGGCAGAGAGTTGTGTCCCAAACTTGCTTGACAACATTCCTTGCGGGACTTAGAGGAAATCTGGGCGGCATAGTCCGAGCCTTTAAGCCTGCAGGGTTAGAGGAAGCATACGACATGGCAGTAAAAGAAAGGAGTTTGTACTATGCGGAGAGTGCGACAAACTGGTCGCAAAACAGACAGTCGATTAGGCAAAGCGATCGTTTCCGGTCAAATCAATACCAATACCAAAATAGGGTCAATTATCAGTATCGGAGCAGGGACTATAACCAAAATCAGAACAGGGACTATAATCGCCTCTCACCGAAATATATAGGATTATATTCGAAAACAGAAAGCCTAATAAGCTGGAACTTGACCACGAGGAAATATTATTTGAAACCCTAACTCGTACAACAACGCCTTATACGTTGCAACCAAATAAAAACAATTTGAATTATTCTCGGAAAGAACTCACTTCTTCAAAAAATGACATTAACTATAATACTGAACACGATTACCTGCAAAAACTTAACGAATTTTTAACGAACGAGCCTCCGGCCAAACCTCCCAGAGCTACCCTAGAAATAGTACGCTCACTGGAACCACTTGAACCCACACATTTGGATACAATTATGTTGTAATCTGAAACATTGTTTAAATCCGGCAACGACCCACTCGAGGTCCCCGCTTACGATTTGCTGACATCGAAAATACGACACAAGCAGACACTTCGAAAGGATTGCTGAATAAACATTCTTTATTTTCATCTTGTATTAGTGTATAAGCCCTTATGTATAGTATATAAGATTTTATGTACATTTTCGGCAGCGGCGGCTTCTCGGCCACCGCTGAACAATATATGAAGTAAGTCTAGAAATGCACTTCAATCGTCGAAGACATTCTTACCCTATTCAAATCGTATTATTTTCCAACAAATTATAAATATTGAAATCCAAAATACCAATTCTGAGGACTGGAACCCCCTTGGACCACCACTGACCTGGCCGATACTATAACTCGGGCATTTGTCTGTATTCGGTTACTTCTCTAAATAATCCCTTCAATATTAACTTGCTAATATTTACAATTGAAAAAGCAAGATAAGAAGTTCCTTGACCCAAAGACAATATCGGCATAGAGAATTTTTCCTCGATTCAACGATAGCGTGCTAAACCGTCAGCTTTATTAAATTTGGTTTGCAAATATATATTGCAGTGAAGCCCTTATTGACAAAGTTAAATCTGAATGGATACTCAGCGTAGGTCATCAGTATTCGACTGGCGATCTCACCTGGAAATAAAATGGACATGACTCGCACTCAAACTTAATTTGGTAATGTCTGTTGCTAAAAAATTGTTGTTTTTTCATTACAGGCTATCCCATTTTAGACAAATGTAAAAATCTTCTGGTTCAACAAAAGGTTGCTTTTATTAATTTAATAAGATTCCATCACAGCTCATCATGCTCGCTGGAGACGGAGTCATTCTCCTCGAGCCGCACAACTGAGCCCCAAAACAGGGGCAGGTCTTCCTCATGGATAAGGGCATAGATGAACGGATGATCTGCCAGGAACTCAATAGGTTCCTCAAAGGAAACAAAGTCGCGTTCCACAATGCCTGCGGGATGGGAAGAAGACAACACAGATACGGATTAACAATTGGGACATGCAGAAGATAAAATATGCTAATGGAGTACGAAAGAACTTGGAGCTCTTACCCGTGGCAGTCGCGGCTTCTGTTCCCTCTTCGTTCACATCGATAAAGGCCTTGTGTATGATGGCCGACACCTTCAGAGGCTCGGGGCTCTGCAGCATCTTGCCGAACTCCGCTTGGTCAGTGAACATCTTCGACATGCCCAGCTAAAGGAATGATTTAAGAGACTTTAGTCGCGGTTCCTTCTTAATGCCTCTAAAACTAAGCTCACCTGCTGGAAAATGTCCGTCAACTCCACTTGGAACTCGGCCTTGAACTTGGGCAACTTCACTACTACCTCAGTCTCTTGCAGCTCTTTTGTAATAAGCGATAGAGTCATCGCACGCAGCTTCTCTTCCAGGGAGGACAAACCCGTCTTGCTGTTGGGCAGGACGATCAGCATGGAGAGGTCAGAGTCCTTGTAGGGCAGCTCCAAGACCGAGGCCTCCAGCGCTGGAAGATCGGCATAACGGAACCACTCCTTCAAACCCATCATCGGAACCTGGATGCTGCGTGCTGCATCCAGGTAAAAGGTCTCCGGGCGGGTGGCATGCTTGGGGAACTGGTGCTGCCAGGAGCCCTTGAAGTGGATTGCGTTCACCAGAACCAGTCGAGAGTCGGAGTCCAGTGCGCTGGCCGGCACCAAGTCTTTTATTAAGTGATTGGTGCGCTGTTCCACCCAGCCGTTTATGGTGGCCGCCGCCTGGGCGCTTTGGGCAAAGTTGACGCTCTGCGCCGCTGAGAGGAACTCCTTGGTCAGCAGCTGGTCAAACTCCTGGCGCAGCGGGTAGCCCTCCATCACGAAGATCTTGTTGGCGATTCGCAGGACCTGGCTGTTCTGGTAGGCGGCCAATACTTGATTGAAGCTGTGGGCAATTTGGTCAGCGTCGCTGGAGACCAAACCAAGACCATGGTCTAACTGAGTGGCCGTCTCGCCATCTGCACCAATCCGGGCCATCGCCGCACACGTCTGGATGGAGAAGGGCGAGAAGACGATGTTCTCGCCGGGCTTCTGCGCCGACAGCTTTTCGTAGACGTTGATAGAGAAGAGGGCGAGTCGGCGGGCGAACTCCTGGTGGGCGGCGTCGACCATGGTGACGTCAGATGAGCGGACCAGCGGATAGGGGGAGAGGATCAGGCAGAGCAGTGGGAGCAGTGAGTCACCTCCACGAATGGTGTTTACTATATCTTTCAGGTATTCCGTTTCGCTGGGGATTCACCAGGCTCCACTTATCAGGATTGTATATTGACAACCTGAACCAACTGCTGATTCTCAATGAGCTTTCTCCAGTGGCTGCTATTTTGTACTTTTCAATTTCTGTTCACTCAAGCGGGTACCGCCCTCGACTTATATGATGTCACTTAAGAGCGACAACTGAATTTCTCAACGAGCGTGAACAAACGGGTCTTACTCTTAAATTTATATCTTGTCCACTTTTTGTTTTGCTTGCAATCTTGTATTTTGGCTTACCGAATTACTTACCTATTCGTCTTAGTCGATTCTCCATTACTAATGCGTTTTGATTGCTGGGTAAACTTTTTGTTTAAAGCGTGCGTTGTCGACTGCCTCGACTTTATACCACAACTAGTGTTTGCGTCCTTATCAGTCAAAGCTCTGCTTAAGTTTGTTTTTGTTTTTGAGAATAATATTCAGCCCACTAAAAGCGAAAAAACGCTGAAATTGAAATTATTATTCCAGGTGAATATACAGTCGAAAAATTGTTGGTTAGGACACGTTGCCCAGCCTTTTGGCCATAAGCTTCAAAACTAAAAGTGTTATGTACCATTTACATACGACCTGATACGACTTAGTCAAGGGACTGACTGGTGCCTTCCTAAAGAAATTTCAGGTCTGCTCCAGATTTGTCTTGTTGAGTATTTGGTCGATGATTGAGGAACAAAAAGTCAGAAGCAGTGTACAAAATAAAAAATCAAATTTTAAGTCGATCCCCTCTGCAATTTTTCATAGTAACTAGATTAATCTTTACTCTACTCACACAATACGCGATGAGGATGCGAGTTTGAAGCGAGAACTCCTCAACGAACTTAAGATTCAAGAAGCTTTTAAGCAACTCTTCATGCAAAAGGCGTTCATTCGCATCCGATGGCCGTAGGTAAACCTTGGCGTAATAAGAGATCGGTTCCATGTTTAGCAATATACCTCCCACGTATTCCCCCGAGTCAGATATGATAACCAGACTTTGCTAGCAGCTCTCAAAAACAATATTACCAAGTTTTTCAATTGATTATCTCTTTAATAAATCTTTATCGGACTTCTTGTAGGCATCGCGCGGTATCTTATGAATTTAGTCCAGTTTATTGAGGCAAGTATCTAGCTAAGTACAAAAATATAAACTGTATGTAAAATATCTCCGATTGGGCGCAGTCTTAGGCTTATTAAATTTGGTATGATTATAGATTGAAGTGACGCCCGAAGCAACAATGTAATACCACGGCAAGTCATCAAAACACGTTTGGCGATCAAACCTAGAAATCAGATGGAAATGGGACCTGCAAATCGCTTGGTTAATTTTGTTATCAAGAGGTACCCACGATTAAATCTTTTGTATGCTGCCAGCAAAAAGAACAGTTGAGTCCTTATTGAGAATGTAGAACTTAAATGGATGATCTACAGTGAAGCGTTTCAGTTCCGGGGGGTAAATGGTCAATGAAAGCGGAAACATGATCACACCTGTAAATTGAAATGACAGTGGAATAATAAAATTATAACAAATATAATTTTTAAGTCATAATTGATAATGCAATGTAATAGTTAAATGAATGATGATAATCCGACCATTCCTAAAATTAACATGTAATTCAGCACGGAAGTGATTAGAGTTTATTTAAAGGCGGATGTTCGGATATCTCTTACAATTTGGTAATGTCTTTATACGCATCCCAGGCATGTCTGTTGCTAAATAGTATTTTTATTTTGAATTATTTGAGTTTACCAAATGGTTTTAGACAGAGAATCCTCATGAACGATTGGGACATGCAGAGAATGTTGGATGCTAATAGAGTAGGGAAGAACTTGGAGCACTTACCCGTGACAGCCGCAGCCTTGGTTCCCTTTTCGTTCACTTCGATAAAGGCCTTGTGTATGATGGCCGATACCTTCAGGGGCTCGTCCTTTTTCAGTATCTTTCCGAACTCCGCTTGGTCGGTGAACATTTTCGACATGCCCAGCTAGAGAAGAGATAAAAACAAGAGAGAACGCTATAGTCGGGTGCCCCGACTATCAGATACCCGTTACTCAGGTAAAGGGAGTGCGAGGGAGATGGTGATAGAAACTTTGATCACGCATAACTTTTTAACGAATGGTCCAATTTGAAAAATTTCTTCTACATTTCTATAGGTATTGATAAACACAATAAAACTGCATTTTTACTTTTCCGAAATATTTAAATTTTTAAAATCGTATATAAGCGATTGTGGGCGTTAAAGGGGGCGTGGCACCTTTTTGAAACAAACTTGCGCTGCGTAGGAACTCCTAGAATCGGCATGCAAAATGCCAATCTTCTAGCTTTTATAGTTTCCGAGATCTCAGCGTTCATACGGACAGACAGACGGACAGACAGACGGACAGACGGACAGACGGACAGACGGACAGACAGACGGACAGACGGACATGGCTATATCGACTCGGCTAGTGACCCTGATCAAGAATATATATACTTTATAGGGTCGGAAACGCTTCCTTCTAGCTGTTACATACTTTTGCACGAATACAATATACCCTTTTACTCTACGAGTAACGGGTATAAAAAAGACTTTAATGGCGGTTGATCCTTGACTTCTCTAAAGCTTACCTGCTGGAAAACATCTGTCAACTCCACTTGAAACTCGGCCTTGAACTTGGGCAACTTTACTCTCACCTCAGTCTTTTGCAGCGCCCGTGTAATAAGCGAAAGTGGCGTCACCCGCAGCTTCTCCTCTAGGGCGGACAAACCCGTCCTGCTGTTGGGCAGGACGATCAGCATGGAGTGGTCAGAGTCCTTGTAGGGCAACTCTAAGGCAGAGGCGTCCAGCGCCGGCAGATCGGCATAACGGAACCACTCGTTTAAGGCCATCATCGAAACACAAACGCTGTGGTCCTTATCCAAGTGGAAGGTAGCCGGACGGGTTTTATATATGGAGAACTGGTGCTGCCAGGTGCCCTTGAAGTGGATTGCGCTCACCAGAACCAGTCGTGAATTGGCATTCAGTGCGGTGGCCGGAACCAAGTCTTTTATCAAGTGTTTGGTGCGCTTTTCTACCCACTTATTTATGGTGGCCGCCGCCTTGTCGCTCTTGGCGAAGTTTACGCTCTTCGCCGTCGAGAGGAACTGCTTAGTCTGCAGCTGGACAAACTGCCGTCGTAGTGGATAGCCCTTCATTACGAAGATCTTGTTGGCGATCCGCAGGACCTTGCTGTCCTTGTAGGCGGCCAGTACCTTGCGGAAACTATCGCCGATTTTTTCCTCGTCGCTGGATGCCAGACCAAGACCCTGGTCCAACTGGGTGGCCGTCTCTCCTTCGGCGCCCATCCGAACCATCGCCGCACACGTCTGGATGGAGAAGGGTGAGAAGACGATGTTCTGGCCGGGTTTCTGCGCCGACAGCTTTTCGTAGACATTGTTGGAGAAGAGAGCCAGTCGACGGGAGAACTCCATGTTGGCGTTGTCGGTCATGGTGACGTCAGATGAGCGGACCAGCGAACAGGAGGAGAGTGAAAAGGGGTACCGCCCTCGACTTATATGACGTGGCTTTTGGGCGAAAACTAAAATTCGCAACAAGCGATGCTAAATATTGAATGTGTCATCACAGCCTTTAACTTTTAAATTTATATCTTATAACGCTCTCTGTATCGCTTGTTTTTCTACAGTCTTGTGCTTTGAATTTTTGGGTAGCTTACCAAATAACCCCAGGTTATCACAAATGTGTTTTTTATTGCTGGGTAAACTTTGTGTTTGAAGCGTGCGTTGTCGACTGGCCTGATCTTAAGCCACAACTAGTGTCTGCGTCCTTATCAGTCAAAGCTCATCTTAAGCTTTTATTTCATTTTGAAAATGAGAATTTTGGGGGAAGAGTGTTTAATTTGGGACATTTTTGTTCTTGACCAGTCGTTTGGTGTCTTAGTTTCCGTAAAAATTAGTTTATGGCACGTAATGTCAGTTAAAATAATTTTTTCGATCAAAGGCAACTGTGCGTATGAGTAACGTCAGCTAGAATGCTTTTTTTGATAAAAGGCAACTGTGCGTATGAGTAATGTCAGTTAGAATGAATTTTTCGGTTAAAGGCAACTGTGCGTATGAGAGATAAACATGGAAATGCGTAGTCTTAAGAACGCATTCTTTTTCAAAACAATTATTTTGTGGTATGCCTTAAATGCAAGCAAAATCTGAGTCGGCAGAGTACGAGGGAGGTACTTTTTACCAAAGGCCATCGGATGCGAATGAGAACCTCCTTCATAAAGAGTTGGTCAATAGCTGCCTGAATCTTAAGTCCGCTGAGGAGTTCTCATCGAGTATTGTGTGCCAGCGGATGATCACTTGGAGCATGGCGAGTAAAGTAAAGACTAATTCATTAAAAGTATAGAAATTTTATATCATTTTGCATCTCTATTCCGCCATTTCATTTTGCGGATTAACCCATGTTTCTGTAACGAACGACCATTCGTTCTTATAAGGACTCAACTGTTTGGTGTACCGGCATAATAATAGCATTAAAATCAAACTTGGCGTAGTAGAAGATCAGTTCCTTGTCCAGAAATTTTCCTATCTCGTCGATTTGGTGCCACAAAGTAGAACTTTCATTGGAGAATTTAGAACGTTGTGCTTTGGACTTTATTGAGGCTACATGCTTGGTTAGTACAAAAATGTAAAGTGTATTTATAAGAGCATCGATTGTGTGCAGTCTTTGTCTTATTAAATTTGATTTGCGAATATAGATTGCAGTGGCGCCCGTATAAACAATGTAAAATCTAAATGGATGCTCTGCCTAGGTCATCAATATATGACTGACGATCACACCTGGAAATGAAATGGACATGAGTCACACGAATCGCATGGTTGACCTTGTTAGTGAGAGATACCGAGGATTATTTAGAGTTTCTGTATGCTGCCAGCAAAAAGAACAGTTGAGTCCTTATTGAGAATGTAGAAGTTAAATGGATGATCGACATAGAATCGTTTTGGATCCGGCTCAGGCATGGGCTTCGAAGAAAAATACGTGGCCATAGCTGTGAATTAAGATGAGAGTTGAATTTAGTTCAATGTCCTTATCGATAATGTAAAAGTTAAATGGATGCTGGACATGGAATCGAATTGGTTCTCGCTCAAAATGACCATTCCTGAAATGAACATGAAAGTCTGTTCAGCAATTAAAGTTTCTTTGATGGCATATGGTCGTGCTGGGAATTTTGGATATCTGTTACGAACTTAATTTGGTAATGTCTGTATTTGCTACATGTATGTTTGCTAAATAAATGTTGTTTTTAGGCAATTGCAAAAAAAATCTTCTTGTTACACAAAAGGATGCCATTATTCATTTTATAAGGTACTATCACAGCTCACCAAACTCGCTGAAGACGAAGTCATTCTCCTCAGTTATTCTCAACTGAGCCCGAAAATAGGGGCAGGTCCTCCTCATGGACAAGGGCATAGATGAATGGATGATCTGCGTGGAACTCAATAGGTTCTTCAAGCGAAACAATGGCGCGTTTCTTACGCATCATAATGCAGAAGATGAAAGATGCTAATGCAGTACGAAAGAACTTGGAGCACTTACCCGTGGCAGCCGCGGCTTCTGTTCCCTCTTCGTTCACATCGATAAAGGCCTTGTGTATGATGGCCGACACCTTCAGAGGCTCGGGGCTCTCAAGTATCTTGCCGAACTCCGCTTGGTCGGTGAACATTTTCGACATGCCCAGCTAGAGAAGAGATAAAACATACTTTAATGAAGTTGATCATTGACTTCTCTAAAGCTTACCTGCTGGAAAACATCTGTCAACTCCACTTGGAACTCGGCCTTGAACTTGGGCAACTTCACTAGTACCTCAGTCTTTTGCAGTGCCTGTGTAATAAGTGAGAGTGGCGTCACCCGCAGCTTCTCCTCCAGGGCGGACAAACCCGTCCTGTTGTTGGGCAGAACGATCAGCATGGAGTGGTCAGAGTCCTTGTAGGGCAGCTCTAAAGCCGAGGCGTCCAGTTCTGGCAGATTGGCAAATCGAAAACGCTCCTTTAAAGCCATCATCGGAACCTGTACGCACCGTGCAACATCCAGGTAAAAGATGTCAAGGCGGGTGGCATTCTTGGAAAACCTGGTCCGCCAGGTGCCCTTGAAGTGGATTGCGTTCACCAGAACCAGTCGAGAGTTGGCGTCCAGTGCGCTGGCCGGCACCAAGTCTTTTATTAAGTGATTGGTGCGCTGCTCCACCCAGGCGTTTATGGTGGCCGCCGCCTGGGCGCTTTGGGCAAAGTTCACGCTCTGCGCCGCCGAGAGGAACTCCTTGGTCAGCAGCTGGTCAAACTCCTGGCGCAGCGGATGGCCCTCCATCACGAAGATCTTGTTGGCGATTCGCAGGACCTGGCTGTTCTGGTAGGCGGCCAATACTTGGTTGAAGCTGTGGGCGATTTGGCCCGCGTCGCTGGAGGCCAAACCAAGACCATGGTCTAACTGAGTGGCCGTCTCGCCATCTGCACCAATCCGGGCCATCGCCGCACACGTCTGGATGGAGAAGGGCGAGAAGACTATGTTCTCGCCGGGCTTCTGCGCCGACAGCTTTTCGTAGAGGTTTAAAGAGAAGAGGGCGAGTTTGCGGGCGAACTCCTGTTGGGCGGCGTCGACCATGGTGACGTCAGATGAGCGGACCAGGGAGAGGGGGAGAGGATCAGGCAGAGCAGTGGGAGCAGTGAGTCACCTCCACGAATGGTGTTCACTATATCTTTCAGGTATTCCGTTTCGCTGGGGATTCACCAGGCTCCACTTATCACGATTGTATATTTACAACTTGAACCAACTGCTTATTCTCAATGACCATTCTCCAGTGGCTCCTATTTTGTACTTTTCAATTTCTGTTCACTCAAGCGGGTTCCGCCCTCGACTTATATGATGTGACTTTAGAGCGACAACTGAATTTCTGAACGATGTTTTCATGCCCGCTTATCTACATATTCGACAACAACAGCTCTTACTCTTAAATTTATATCTTCTGAAGCTTTTTGTTCTGATTGTATTTTGGCTTATCGAATAACTTAGCAATTAGTCTTAGGGCATTCTCCATTGTTTTCTATTACTAATGTGTTTTGATTGCTGGGTAAATTTTGGGTTTGAAGCGTGCGTTGTCGACTGCCATGACTTTACACGACAACTTGTGTATGCGTCCTTATCAGTCAAAGCTCTGCTTAAGCTTGTATTTGTTTTTGAGAAGCGAACTTAAGATTCAGGAAGCTTTTAACCAACGCTTAATGCAAAAGGCGTCCATTCGCGTCCGATGGCCGTAGGTAAACCTTGGCGTAATAAGAGTCGGTTCCTTGCTTACAAATATACCTCCCACGTATCCCCTTGAGTCAGATATGATAATCAGACTTTGCTAGCAGCTCTCGAAAAACACTATTACTATGAGAAGGATCCCGAGTTGAAGTCAATAGAGCATACTTAGAATGACTTGCTTAAAAATTTAGGAATAACTATAGGAAGTGTTTGCTTGATATGTACTTAAAATAAAAACAACAAAAGTAATAATTTTTTAGCTTTAAAAACTGAGGGACTAGTTTTCTTAGAAACGGACGGACGGACGGACGGACGGACAGACTCTTCTGGTGATGCTGGTCAAAAATATATATAGTTTATTGGGTCGGAAAATTCTTCTTCACAGCGTTGCAAACTTTTGACTGAAATTATAATACCCTCTGCAAGGGTATAAAAATCACAGTTATTAAATGCAGTTGTTTATTTTAATTCGTTGATCTTAAAAGTACTTTCTCCGAGACTTTCAATTGATTAACACAAATCTTTTCCAGTAAAGATGGGAATATCTTTATCGGACTTCACGTAGAGAGCAAAGGCATAGGCATCACGCGGATTCTTATGAAGGGACTGTGGTAGCAATTTTGAATTTAGACCAGTTTATTGAGGCTAAATACTTGGTAAGTAAAAAATAGAAACTTCATATAAAATATCGCCGATAGGGCGCAGTCCTAGGCTTATTAAATTTGGTTTGCGATTGTATATTGTAGTTGCGCCCAAAGCGACAATGTAATACCACGGCAAGTCATCAAAAACGTTTGGCGATCAAACCTAGAAATCGGATGGAAAGGGGACTTACAAATCGCTTGGTTAACTTTGTTATTAAGAGGTACCCACGATTAATTAAAACTTTTGTATGCTGCCAGCAAAAAGAACAGTTGAGTCCTTATTGATAATGTAGAACTTAAATGGATGATCAACAGTGAAGCGTTTCAGTTCCGGGGGGTAAATGGTCAATGAAAGGGGAATCATGAGCAAATCTGTAAATTGAGATGACAGTGGAAATCATTATAACAAATATAATTTTTGAGTCATTATTGATAATGTAATGCAATAGGTAAATGGTTGTTAGGACAGGCGTTCCACCCCATGGTTTTAGACAAATGCAAAAATCTCCTTTACAAAAAAAGCTTCAGAGAATGATAGATGCTAATAGATTAGGGAAGAACTCTGAGCACCTACCCGTGACAGCCGCAGCTTTGGTTCCCTTTTCGTTCACTTCGATAAAGGCCTTGTGTATGATGGCCGACACCTTGAGGGGGTCCTGATTTTTCAGTATCTTGCCGAAATCCGCTTGGTCGGTAAACATTTTTGACATGCCCAGCTAGAAAAGAGGTTAAAGAGATCTTAACGGCAGTTCCTTCTTAATGTCTCTAAAACAAAGCTCACCTGCTGGAAAACGTCCGTCAACTCCACTTGGAACTCGGCCTTGAACTTGGGCAACTTCACTAGTACCTCAGTCTTTTGCAGCTTTTTTGTAATAAGCGATAGAGTCGTCGCACGCAGCTTTTCTTCCAGGGAGGACAAACCCGTCTTGCTGTTGGGCAGGACGATCAGCATGGAGTGGTCAGAGTCCTTGTAGGGCAGCTCTAAGGCCGAGGCGTCCAGCGACGGCAGATCGGCATAACGGAACCACTCGTTTAAAACCATCATCGGAACACGGACGCTGTGGTCCCCATCCAAGTGGAAGGTATCCGGCCAGGTTTTATATATGGAGAACTGGTACTGCCAGGTGCCCTTGAAGTGGATTGCGTTCACCAGAACCAGTCGTGAATTGGCGTTCAGTGCGGTGGCCGGAACCAAGTCTTTTATCAAGTGTTTGGTGCGCTTTTCTACCCACTTATTTATGGTGGCTGCCGCCTTGTCACTCCTAGCGAAGTTTACGCTCTTCGCCGTCGAGAGGAACTGCTTAGTCTGCAGCTGGACAAACTGCCGTCGTAGTGGATATCCTTTCATCACGAAGATCTTGTTGGCGATCCGCAGGACCTTGCTGTCCTTGTAGCCGGCCAGTACCTTGCGGAAACTATCGGCTATTTTTTCCGCATCGCTGGATGCCAAACCAAGACCCTGGTCCAACTGGGTGGCCGTCTCTCCTTCGGCGCCCATCCGGACCATCGCCGCACACGTCTGGATGGCGAAGGGTGAGAAGACGATGTTCTGGCCGGGATTCTGCGCCGACAGCTTTTCGTAGACATTGTTGGAGAAGAGAGCCAGTCGGCGGGAGAACTCCATGTTGGCGTTGTCGGTCATGGTGACGTCAGATGAGCGGACCAGCGAACAGGAGGAGAGTGAAAAGGGGTACCGCCCTCGACTTATATGACGTGGCTTTTGGGCGAAAACTAAATTTCGCAACGAGCGATGCTAAGAATTGAATGTGTCATCACAGCCTTTAATATTTTAATTTATATTTTATAACGCTCTCTGTTTCGCTTTATTTTCTACACACTTGTGCCTTTAAATATTTGATAACTAACCAAATAACCTCAGGTTATTAAAAGATTATTGTTTTTCACGTGAAAATGCGTTATTATTAATGTGTTTTTTATTTCTGGGTAAACTGTGTGTTTGAAGCTGCGTTGTCGACTGCCCCGACTTTAAACCACATCTATTGTTTGCGTCCTTATCAGTCAAAGCTCAGCTTAAGCTTGTTTTTGTTTTTGAGAATGAGAATTTTTGGTGAAGAGTCTGTAAGTTGGGACATTATTTGTTCTTTTGGTGTCTAAGGTTACGTTAAAATTAGTTATATGACACGAAATGTCAGTTAGAATGGTTTTTTTGATCAACGGTAACTGTGCGTATGAGTAATGTCAGTTCAAATGTTTTTTTCGATTAAAGGCAAATGTGCGAATGAGAGATAAACTTGGAAATGCGTAGTTTCAAAAAAATCCATTATAAGTGTATAAATTTCACATAATTTTGCACCTCTATTCCGCCATCTCAATTTGCAGATTAAGCCGTGTTTCTATGTCGAACATGCATTTTTGAGTTTCGTTCTAAATTAGGACTTAACCGTTTTGTTTACTAGCAGCATACAAAAATGCAAAACATTGCAAAAATTTGTCCCAAAAAGCTTTCTTTTACATACATATATGATATATAAGTCGGAAATGCCATGTTCGGAAGAGTATATCATAAAACTGCTAGTAACAATTGAAAAATGTTTAGGACAAAATTTTAACATCGTTATAACCTTTTTTAAAAATCCGAGGCCCGAAACGCTTCATTTACAAGTAACGGGATTAATAATAGGAAAATCAGCTTAGTTTCCTAGTTTTTCAACATACACACATATAAATTGAGATATATTGTCTTGATATATTACAATATTACTATCACTTATTATTTTCATATAAAAGCATTAAAATCAAACTATCTGTGGGAGCATAAAACTTTTAGTTTTAAAAGTTAATGGCACATTCAGTTTTAATAATAATTTCAAACGTTATCAGTGTGAAATACTCATCATTCCCGAAGTTAAAGACAAATATTTAAAAGTCCCGGCAGTCTGCAACGTACTCTTCAATCGCAAAGTTCAACAGAAAAATGAAGAATTCCCCGGGGTTGTTTGGTAAGTTAACCGATAAGCCAATATACCATGCTCTAGAAAAACAAGCGAAACAGAGAGCAGCATAAGAAATATTCAATATCTAGCATTGCCCGTTAAGAAATAAAAAAAGTACAACTCGTGGCTTAAGTCTATTTATTTATTTATTTATTATAGATGATAGTAAAGTTTACAAAACTAAGACTAACATATGGTAGTGTAGTGCTAGCTGCGGGGCCTTCGACTACGTATTATTGTAGGTTAACTTAAATTAACATTATTTCTTAGTTTTAATTTTTGGATTTAGATTTCGTTGTATAAATTGGTTTTTTTAGGAAAGATATAATTGTTTTGATATTTTCTGATGTAGGGTTCTTTAGGTAGTCGGTGGCTAGTAGGTTTTTAAAGATATGTTGCTTGTCCTGTGTAATTGCTGGGCATGTGTCAATGATGTGTTCCATGTTTATGGGGGTTGATGATTGGCAGAGGGGGCAGTTTCGTGTGGTATTGAGATCAAGGAGGTGTTTGTGTGTTATGTTTGTGTGTCCTAACCGAAGTCTTATAAATTTAATTTGGTCAATTCGGCTAATTTCTTCCTGAGTTATCTTAGAGAGTGTTGATGTGTGGATGTTGTTAGTGTTAATGTTTTTGTACCATGAGTTGCATTTATTTATTAAGGTTTCATTTTCTAGCTTTAGTTGATTTTTGAGAAATTTATTAATGTCTTTTATATTTTCGTTGAGAGTATATATTAGTGGCATTTTCGTTGCCTCTTTTGCTATTTTGTCTGCGAGTTCGTTTCCTATAATGTTAGAGTGTCCTGGGGTCCATAGAATTTTTATTTTGGGTTGTTTTAATTGAAGTAGTCTTCTGATGTATGCGGGGTATTTGTTGAGATTTGATGGGTTGCGGATTGCATCGATCGCTCCCAGAGAGTCAGAGCAGATAACAAATTGTCCTCTCATGCTTGTTGCAAGTTTTGTGGCTTCGAGGATTCCGATTATTTCTGCTGTTAGGATTGATGAGTAAGGAGGTAGGTTCCCGTAGTGCAATGTTTCAGTTTCAGTGGTTATAGCAAAGGTTGTAATTGAGTTTTGTTTAGATCCGTCCGTTTAGATAAAGGTATGGTTTTTGTAGGTTTCTTTAGTTTCGTAGAAAAGTTTTTGGAATGTTTCAGGTGATGTGTTGGTTTTTTTGTAGTTGTGTAGTGAGGTGTTAATTAGGTTTTGGGATAGTTGCCATGGTGGTTTAGTTTTGTAAAGTTTTCCAGGTTTGAAGGGTATGTTAAGAAGTTGACAATTTTCCATAGTGCGTTCTAGTGTTGAGGTCCATTTTTTTGTTCTGGTTTGTGGTTTGATGTATTTGTGTATTGGCGTATCCTTGGAGCGAATGAGGTTTTTGAAAAGTTTGGTTGTAAGGTGGTCTCGTCGTTGTTCAATTGTTGGAATGCCAGATTCGAATAGTAGGTTGCATGTTGGTGTGGTGCGAAAGGCGGCCAAGACTGATCTAAGAGCTGCGTTTAATGTGGTTTTTAATTTATTTAGTGAATTTTTTGGGGTGTAACCGTATGTGTGGAGTGCGTAATCAATTTTGGATATAAGTATAGCTTTTGTAATGTTTAGTAATGTGTTTGTATTGCAGTTAAATTTGGGGCTGGCCAGACATTTTATGATATTAAGTTTGTTTGAGAGAGATGGTAAGGGAGAGTTAATGAGTGAGTTCCAGTTGTATTTATTATTAATGGTTAGACCGAGTACTTTAAGTGATGTTACGTTATTTATGTTTGAGTTCTGTGTAATAATAGTGCAGCTGCATCTGTGTTTTCTACATATGTGTAGATGTTGGCATTTTGTTTCGGACAGAGTTGCGCCTGAATATTTTCCCCAGTCATTTATTTTTTTAAAAAGGTGGCTCAGGTTTATTGTTGTGTTTTTCCGATTTTTTAAATTGACCAATAAGAGGAAATCGTCTGCATATGCGCTAAACTTTATTTGTTTCTGCCTTGTAAGGATGTTGGCCAGTTTATTGTAGGCAATTAAAAATAGTACAACGGATATGGGAGATCCTTGTGGAATTCCGTTATCCAAGGGGTAAATGTTTGAATTGTGTGTTCCTATTCGGACTGTTATTTTCCTGTTTTTTGTGAAGTTTATAATATAGTTTATTATTTTGTGACCACATTTCCATTTTATCAGTTGGTCAACTATTGGGTGGGTACCTACTCGATCAAAAGCTCTTGAAAAGTCAAGAGAGATGAGTGAGGTATGTTTCCTGTTGTTAAGGGACTTCGTGATGATGTGATCTGCATACAGCAGATTATCCGAAGTTGATTTTCCTTTTTTGAAGCCGAATTGATGTGGGTGTAAAAGTTTGTCATTGGTAAGGAACCACCAAAGTCTGTTTGCTATTATTTTGTCCAGTGTTTTTCCCAGGCAGCAGTTGAGTGAGATGGGTCGGTATGATGCGATGTCGGTTTTATCTTTTAGGGGTTTTATTATTGGAATTATAAGGCTAGTTTTGTAGGATTGAGGAATGTGGTTGTTAAATATGTTGTTGAAATGATGAAGTATTCTATTTTGTACGGAAGCTGAACTATTTTTTATCATTGGGTAAGATATCCTGCTGATTCCTGGTGTTGTACCTTTGAGGGATTGGAGAGCAATGGTAAGTTCCATTTTGGTTATGGGCTTGTCAATTTTTATGGCTGATGTGGATGGAGTGTGATTAAGTGTTGATCTATTGTATTTATGAAAGGAGAATTCTTGGCTGAAGTTAGTATCTTTAGAGAGCTGTGACCAGTGGTGTGCGAGCAGATTGGCTATTTTGTTTTTGTCGTTGGTGGTTTCGTTGTTGTTGGTTGTTATGCAATGTATTTGTTTTGTTGGGTTTAGACCGCAAAAACGACGAATGTTGTTCCATATTTTTGTTGTTGGTGTGTTTGATTGGATGGTTGATGTAAATTTGGTTGTGGATTCCTTTTTCCTTATTTTGATTTCCCTTTTCAATATTGCGTTTGCCTTTCTGTATGCAACGATCGTTTCTTGGGTTGTGTGTCTTTTCAGTGCTTTCCATGTTTGTTTTTTCCTTGTGTGTAAGTCTGATAAGTTTTTGTTCCACCAAGGAACTGTGCGTGAGTGCCTGCTGGGTAGTGTTTGTGGTATTGTATGGTGTGCGCTTGTTAGTATTATTTTGTTAATTAGTGCTGATTCTTTGTTTATGTTGGCTGAGGGAGGGTATAGGTTGTTGGTGTTGTGGGTGTGGATTGCGAAATTGTCCCAGTTAGCTTCGGCTATTTTAAAAATTGTTGTTTTTTTGTTAATTGTGTTGTCGCTTGGAAAGAGGGTGATAATTATAGGGAAGTGATCGCTTCCGAAAAGGTCGTCGATTGGGATCCAGGTTGTGAGTGGTGCGAGGGAGGGAGAGCAAAAGCTGAGGTCAATGTGGGTAAATGTGTTGTGTGTAGTAAAATGAGTTGGTGATTTATCATTTAGAAGGATACAGTTTGACTGTTCAATGAACTTGGCTACGGTTTTACCCCTTGAGTTCGAGCGTGTCGATCCCCAGTTTTGATGCCAGCTATTGAAGTCTCCTGTTACCATGACAGTTTCATTGTTGGTGTTAATTAAGTTGTTCAGGTTATTGCGTGAAAAGGGTTTGTTGGGTGGAATGTAAATGGAGTATAATTTAAAATTTTGTTTTGATTTTATTTCTGCTGCTATTGCTTCTACGTTATCATTGATGTTGGCTTGATTATATTGAATTGATTTGTGGATTAGTAAGGCTACTCCTCCAAATCGGTTAGATGCAATGTTTGTTAGTATATGGTAGTTTATTGGTGTAGGTAGCTTGTGAAAGTATTGTATGTGTGTTTCTTGGAGTGATATAATATGTGGAGAATGTTTTTTGATAAGTAGTAGTAGTTGGTTGTAGTTGTTTGTATATCCCTTTATATTCCATTGTATTATTTTTAAAGTCATAGTTTAATTATTTTTTTGTGCTTGTTTTATAGTATTTGTGTTGGGAAGGCTCGGTTTTTGCTCTTTAGCTTTTAGAGATTTGGAGAGGATGGATTTTTCTTTTGTTTGGCTTCTAAGTACGCGATCGTTTGTTGATGTCGAAGGTTTTTGGGTGTCGTTAAAAGGGTCCATATCCATATCTTCATCGTATATGTTGTACGTTATTGGTGTTCTGTTTGATGGTTTGGCTACCTCTGCAATTTTCTTGTCTATCTCCTTAAGCATTTCTTCCATTCCGTTGTTTACTTTTTTGTCCTGTGTTGGAGTTTCTGTTGCTTTGGTGAGGTTTTCTGTGGGTGCTGCATTTTTTAGGGTTTGGGAGTAAGAGGTTTCTTGGCTGGGATTGTGGCGTGCGAAGTATATGGAACGGGCAGTTTTGTGGTCTACTTTTTCGGTTATTTTAATGGCTATAAGCTCCTGTTCTTTAATAAAGATTGGGCATTTTCTGTCAATAGAGGTGTGGCGGTTCTTGCAGTTAATGCATTTGGGTGCTTGGGTACATTCCTGATTGTCGTTTGTGTGTGAGGTCTCCGAACAGTTTTTGCATATGAGGTTTTCCTGTTTGCAGTATAATTGGGTGTGGTTAAAGCGGAGGCATTTCTTGCACTGCATTGGCCGTGGTATGTATGGGCGTGTGAACACTACCTCATAGCCGATCATTACTTTTTCGGGAAGGTTTGTGGAAGCAAAGGTTAATGTAATGAGACCTGTTGGAGTTCTTTTTTGGTCAACCATTTTTGTCCACTTGTAGACTTCACTAACCTTTTGTGATTTAAGCTCCACTAGGATTTCTTCTTCCGAGACATTCCTAAGTAGGTTGCAATAAATCACGCCTTTTGTCACATTAAGGGTTTTGTGTTCGTATGCTTCAACGTCTATTTCTCCAATTTTTTTGATTTTCAGTAATTTTAGGGCTTGTTGGGTGTTTTTTGTTTCGATAAGAAGGGTTCCTGCTCTAGTTGGTTTACAATTATCCACTTCACCTCCACAAATATAGTCTATAGACTTTTTAACGATAAATGGGTTTGTGAGTTCCAAGGAAAGGTTGTCTTTTCTTTTAATCACAATGTATTTTTTTTCATTTATTGAGTTTTTAGAAAAGAGTTTGTTTTTGTCCGGTGGCAACATTTTGGTTATGTGGGGCGAACCCCTGTGTGTGGTTGTTGTATCACGTGATTATTAGTTATTGTATTTTGTTTTTGCTTTTTTTGTGTCTCTTTTGTTCACCTGTTTGTTTATGCAAATTTTGCTGATAAGCACTTGTCGCTGGTGGTCTTTGATCGCCGTAGTTGCACGTCTTTACTCTATGAGGTCTGGAGTGAAACTGTCGTGGCTTAAGTCATTTAACAGAAATTAAACAGTACAAAGCCAAAAGATTCAGAGGTGACTCATCTGTCCACTATTTGAATTATATATATTTATGACATTAACCACACTTTATCTCCGGATGATTTGTATACTTTCAGCTTGCTGGTTTCTCCCACTGCTCTGCCTAGCCCTCTTCCCCTCTCCGCTGGTCCGCTCCTCTGACGTCACCATGACCGACAACGCCAACATGGAGTTCTCCCGCCGACTGGCTCTCTTTTCCAACAATGTCTACGAAAAGCTGTCGGCGCAGAATCCCAGCCAGAACATCATTTTTTCACCCTTCTCTATCCAGACGTGTGCGGCGATGGTTCGGATGGGCGCGGAAGGAGAGACGGCCACCCAGTTGGACCAGGGTCTTGGTTTGGCCTCCAGCGATGCGGAAAAAATCGCCGATAGTTTCCGCAAGGTACTGGCCGCCTACAAGGACAGCAAGGTCCTGCGGATCGCCAACAAGATCTTCGTAATGAAGGGCTATCCACTACGTCGGCAGTTTGTCCAGCTGCAGATTAAGAAGTTCCTCTCGTCGGCGAGGAGCGTCAACTTCGCCAAGAGCGACAAGGCGGCAGCCACCATAAACAAGTGGGTAGAAAAGCGCACCAAACACTTGATAAAAGACTTGGTTCCGGCCACCGCACTGAACGCCAATTCACGACTGGTTCTAGTGAACGCAATCCACTTCAAGGCCACCTGGCAGTACCAGTTCTCCATATATAAAACCTGGCCGGCTTCCTTCCACTTGAATGGGGACCACAGCGTCCGTGTTCCGATGATGGCTTTAAAGGAGTGGTTTCGATTTGCCAATCTACCAGAACTGGACGCCTCAACCTTAGAGCTGCCCTTCAAGGACTCTAACCACTCCATGTTGATCGTCCTGCCCAACAACAGGACGGGTTTGTCCGCCATGGAGGAGAAGCTGCGTGTGACGCCACTTTCGCTTATTACGCAGGCACTGCAAAAGACTGAGGTACTAGTGAAGTTGCCCAAGTTCAAGGCCGAGTTCCAAGTGGAGTTGAGTGATGTTTTCCAAAAGGTGAGCTTTGTTTTAGAGTCATTAAGAAGGAATCGCGACTAAAGTCTCTTAAATCTTTCCTTAGCTGGGCATGTCGAAGATGTTCACCGACCAAGCGGAGTTCGGCAAAATACTTGAGAGCCCCGAGCCTCTGAAGGTGTCGGCCATCATACACAAGGCCTTTATCGATGTGAACGAAGAGGGAACAGAAGCAGCGGCTGCCACGGGTAAGTGCTCGAAGTTCTTTCGTACTGCATTAGCATCTTTCATCTTCTGCATGTCCCAATTGTTCATCCGTGTTTGTGTTGTCTTCATCCCGCATTAATAAAGTCAGTTTTATGTATAACTGGGAGGTTTCAGCATTTGTCTGAAACTATGGGGTAACCTGAGAAGCATATACAGACATTACCAAATTTGTAAGATTTTTCAGAACATTTCCCGCGTGACCATATGCCTTTAAATAAACTCTAATCACTGAAGCGCCTATTTAATCATTTTTCGTGTCTTTTCAATTTACAGGTATGGTCATGATACCCTATTCGATTACTATTTACCCCCCGGAACTGAAACGCTTCACTGTAGACCATCCATTTAAGTTCTACATTCTCAATAAGGACTCAACTGTTCTTTTTGCTGGAAGCATACAAAAACTATAATTAATCTTAATAGCAAAATAGCTGATTGACATATCTGACTCTTATTACGCCAAACCTTACCAACGGACTTCGGATATGGATGAGCGCCTTTTCCAGGACGAATTGGTCAACAGCTCTCTGAACCTTAAGTTATTGTGCCTTATCGAATATTGTGTGCCGTCGGATAAGTACTTTGAGCATGGATAGTAAAATAAAGATTTATCTAGTAACTAAAGACTCTTTGCAACTCTATTCCACATGCCATCTCAATTTGCAAGTGTACCCGTTTTTCTGTGTCGATCATCCATTTAAGTTTTTGTTTCTTGCCGTTATTTTTACTGACAGTATTAAAATTATGTAAGTTGAAATTGTTTACTAATTGAAATTAGCTGTAATCTTATATTTTGTTAATCAACATTAATGAAGTATTCTGCGCTTAAATTATTTTGATAACTTTTTCACTTTAGTGTTTATAGGCTGTTAAAGTTTATGTTACTACAAATATGCTGTATATACTTTATACATTATTTATGTTTATACTTTCACTGCGTCGAGAATATTTGACTGAAATTATAAAACCATCTGCAAGTGTATAAACAGTAAAGAAAAAACTTACCACTATCATTTCTGTAAAAGTTCACAAACGTCCTTACTGCCAAAAGCGCACACTTTCACTAACCCATTTTACCAACAAATTGAAGAATTCACTCCCAATATTTTTTTATTTTATTGAGGCTACATGCTTTTTTAGTGAAAAATATATAAAGTGTAAAATAAACTGCAAATTTCATATTATATGCCAAAAATCTCGAGAACTGTAGTTTCATTTACTTTACATAAACGTGTTCGAAAACATCTATCTTGGCATTGGAAATACCAGAATATTTATATTTTTTGAATGCTGCCAGTAAACAAAACGGTTGAGTCGTTATCGATAACGAAAAACTTAAATGGATGATCGACACAGAAGTACGTGTTCATGGATGCCGACGACAATAGCTGGAAGCACATACCTGCAAATGGAGATGACATGCGGAATTCAGTTCAGTGGTCAAAGCCATATATTTATAGCACTTACTCGTCGCAGCCGCGGCTTCTGTTCCCTCTTCGTTTACATCGATAAAGGCCTTGTGTATAATGGCGGACACCTTCAGAGGCTCGGGGCTCTGCAGCATCTTGCCGAACTCCGCTTGGTCGGTGAACATTTTCGACATGCCCAGCTGGATTAAAAGTTATAAAGGCTTTAATTGCAGTTATTCCATTATGTGTATAATTCTCACATGTTGAAATACATCGGTCAACTCTACTTGGAACTCGGCCTTGAACTTGGGCAACATCACATGAATCCGGGTTTCGAGTAGCTCCTGTGTAATCTGGTAGAGCGGCAAATTACGCATCTTCTTTGACATGGCGGATAGGCCCGTCCTTTTGTTTGGTAGGACGATCAGCATGGAGAGATTAGAGTCTTTGTAGGGCAGCTCCAGGGCAGCGGCGTTTAGTTCCGGTAGGACACCAAAGCGGAACCGTTTCGTGACACCCATCATGGGAACCTGAACTTTACGTTTGCCATCCTGGTAAAAGGTGTCCAGATGGGTAGAGTACTTGGAAAACGGGTGAAGCCAGATGCCCTTAAAATGGATGGCGTTCACTAGGACCAGTCGCGTATCAGAAGACACCGCATTAGCCGGCACCAGGTCTTTTATTAAGTGATTGGTGCGCTGTTCCACCCAGCCGTTAATGGTGGCCACCGCCTGGGCGCTTTGCGCAAAGTTGACGCTCTGCGCCGCCGAGAGGAACTCCTTGGTCAGCAGCTGGTCAAACTCCTGGCGCAGCGGATGGCCCTCCATCACGAAGATCTTGTTGGCAATCCGCAGGACTTGGCTGTCCTGGTAGGCGGCCAATACTTGGTTGAAGCTGTGGGCGATTTGGCCCGCGTCGCTGGAGGACAGACCAAGACCATGGTCTAACTGAGTGGCCGTCTCTCCTTCGGCGCCCATCCAGGCCATCGCCGCACATGTCTGGATGGAGAAGGGCGAGAAGACAATGTTCTCTCCGGGATTTTGAGCCAACAGACTTTCGTAGATGTTGATGGAGAATAAAGCCAGCCGGCGGGCGAACTCCTGGTGGGCGGCGTCGGTCATGGGGAGTTTGGCTGGGCGGATCAGGGGCGAAAGATATTAATCAAAGTTAAGAAGTCAGTAAATTTCTTGTACTTTTAAATTTGTATTAATTGAAGTTGGTACCGTCCTCGTCTATATGATGTGGCTTTTACGTAACAACTAATTTTTCTTAACCAACGACCATTGCTTTTATGCCCGCGGACTGTTTTTCCCAGGGAATAAGTTTTTTGTTTACCCATTATTTGTTAAACAGAAAAGTATGATATATTCGTTGAAAAGGAAAGCTAGAAGTCGTTTCAGCTTTTATAATTTTTAGATCTTATTAAATTTTTTTTTTTAATTTTTTGGTGCGACCAGCGTATTTTGTAATGGATATCTTGTAGTCGGGAAACTTGACTTAAGCCTTTTTGTTTCTCAATTTTTAGCTCATTAAATTAATGTATAATGCTCTCGCCTATCGGATAACTAACCACATGTGTATCCCCAAGGGTTTCTATTGCTTAATCGATCACTGAATGAACTTTTGGTTTGCGTCATTAATTTGTATTCCCTTGTCACGCCCTTATCACCCAAAGTTCAGCTTGAAATGGTTTTGGTGTTCGAATACTATAAATATAACTTCCAGCAGCATAACTTTTTTGTTTGAATTCATACATATTTTTATTTAATTTATATTGAACAAAACTTGGACTATTTATAAATCTGTTCCAATTAAATCTTTATGAATTTACATGTACACTTCTTAAGACTGATCCTATGAAGCTAATTTTGGTACAATTGAAAATATAATATTTTATTGGAAAGCACAGACACAGAAATATACATTCCTCAGGATTTGCATTCGTTCTTAAAATTACATTTATTACATTTTTTGGACTTTTCTACTGTCGTCGAACAAAAGTGACCGGCGAAGAGGAAACCATGGACGTTGTCATAAATTGCATAAAAGAAGGGTCTATTAGCATGAAACAACTTTGGCTTAGGCTGAGTGGCGGGCTTGCTTCTTAATTGGATAACCGCAGCTGGAAAAGTTGGAAAATATGATTATTAAAATAGGCAAGGGTAAAATCATCTAAAAAGAAATTACTTTTATGCACGTTTTTATAAATATTCATGTTTAAAAATATGAGTTTAATTTTTTATAACCCAGGGTATTTGCTTTTATAGATCAGATCTTTGTATTAGACTATATTATTAAACTCACCTGTCGTAGCTGCGGCTTCAGTGCCCACTTCGTTGACCTCAATAAAGGCCTTGTGTATGATATGGGAGACAACTAGGGGGGACTGGGACTTCAGCATTGCACCAAGTTCGGCTTGATCGCTAAAAATACGGCTCATGTTCATCTGTAAGTAGGTAAAGATCGAATACACAATTATACACCAATCATACTACTATTTCGGCTTACCAGCTTGAAGGCCTGGGATAGTTCCTGCTGGAACTCGGCTTTGAAGCTAGGAATCTTGGCATCAACTTGTTCCAGGTTCATTGAGGATAACAATGCCTCGAGAGAAATGCCTGGTAATTTGTTTTCCAGAATCGTAAGATTCGATTTCTCATCCGGCAGTATGATGATCATGGCCAAGTTGCAGGCACTATAGTTCATTTTAAGGGCAGTGGCATCTAGATTATGTAGCGAAGCAAAGAAGAACTTATCGGAAACGTGCATCATTCTCACTTTGGCAGATCTGTCTGGATCCGAGAAGAATAACTCGTCTTTAGTCTCACTTTCATTGAACCTGATTGACCAATTGCCCTTAAAGTGAATTGCATTGATAAGGACCAGTCAAGAGTCCTTGTCCAGAACTCCAGGGCTGATTAGGTCTTTGATTACGTTGTTAGTCTGCGACTCAACCCAATTGTTAATAATACTGGCAGCCTGTTTGCTGCCAAAGTCGATCTCCATTGGCTTGGAGTGGAAACTCTTCTCTAGAATGCCGCCAAACTGCTCGCCGACTTCATGACCCTGCATTACGTAAAGTCCGTTGACCATTTTCAAGATCTGGCACTGCTCGTAGGTCTTTAGCACGGCATCGAAGTTCTCGGCTATCTCCCGCACATCCCGCCCTCCGAACCGGAGACCCTCATCCAACTCCTTGGCCGTGGCCGATCCCTCCGTGGCTCCCATCCGCACCATTCCACCAGAAGTTCTGACGGACAGCGGGGAGTGGATGATGTTCTGGCCGGGATTGGCCCGGCTCAGCTGTTCGTGGAGACAGTAGGCGAACTGTTCCAAGCCCTGGGCGAATTCTCCATCTTTCATTGTGTTGGACTTCAATTACTCTTTACAAATTTGTTTTGTATATATCCACATTTTGTACTTTGCGAAATAAGAGTCAGGGGGTACTCTTTTTACAGAAGCATTTAAGAGTAAATAATGGGAACTCGATTGATAAGACCTTTGGTTTGACTGCTTATTATAATATGAAGCTAGATAACCTATCAGCCTGCTCAATTCGGGATATGTTGATAGGAAGTTTCCGTTTCAGCGGTTTATTTAGCTGGTTCTCTTCATTACAGGCGGACTCTCTCGGAATTTATCTAATCGCGCACTGTTCGTTTAGTTCTGAGTCATAGACATTCCCTGGTGGAAGTCAGTTCCACGCCGTCTGACAGACACCTCGCACCTACTCCAGCTGCCCTCTGATTGCCTCCGTTTAATTCTTTTTTCCGGTGTAAGTTACCACCTTTTTCTTGACCTAAGAAGCTTAACAGTGTGCTTAATAGATTGTTATTTCCACTTCCATTTTTTCATTAATCAGTAATATAGAAATCTAAACATCTAGTAGTTGTAAGCCAAATCTATAGTATTTCATAGAAAAGAACGAGTGCATCAGTTGACTATTTTTGTATTACCACTTCCATTTTTGCATCAATCAGTGATATAGAAATCTAAACATAGACTTAAGTCTAGTAGTTGTACGCCAAGTATGTAGTATTTCATAGAAAACAACGAGTGCATCAGTGGACTATTTTTGTAGATAGAACGAACAAATATATAAACAACGTTATCAGTCGAGGTGTTTGCTAAAAAGCAATTTATAATGACGAAAGCAAATACCTGCGATAGGCCCATCAGTTTTCATGGTTAAGCTATGATAATGATATTGGGTCTTTATTTTGAATGGGAAGTACACAGCAGTAGTTCAGATCTTATACGTCATTTGACGTATCCAAAAAAATTGGCTCGATCTATGGTACTGTTAATAGTTTTAAATTATATGTTTTAACATTTACCCTATCGGCAGGTCAAGATGAGCGATCCCCAAGAAAGTAGAAATCTGTTTTCTCGAACCCTGATAGATACCATTACCAAGGATGCCCTGCAGCAAAGTGATGAGGGTCAAATCAACACGGTTTTCTCACCCGCGTCCGTCCAAAGTTGTTTGACCCTGGCTTTCATGGGAGCCTCGGGATCGACGGCCGAGGAGCTGAGGAATGGACTGCAGCTGGGAGCAGGGGATCGCCACCACATAGCTCGCACCTTTGGCGAGTTCTGGCGGACGAACTGCAACTACGGGGAAAGGGGACCTGTGCTGAAGTCCGTGAACCGATTGTACGTGAACGACAACCTGGAACTGCAGCCGGAATTTAACGAGATCGCCGGGGACTTTTTCCAGTCGAAGGCGGAGGCGGCGAAGTTCGCCGATTCAGAGGGAGCCACGCAGCAGATCAACGCCTGGGTGGAGAAGGAAACGGAGCAAAAGATCAGCAACCTACTTCAATCGGATGCCGTGAACGACGAGACGAGTGCCGTGCTCATCAACGCCTTGTACTTCAAGGGAAAATGGCTGAAACCCTTCATGCCAGAGACCACGTCGATGGATGCCTTCCATGTGGATATGGACTCCCGTGTGGAAGTGAGCATGATGTACCAGGAGGACAAGTTCAGGTTTGCCGATCTCGGACAGCTAAATGCTACGGCCGTGCAGCTGCCGTACGAGTACTCGAACATCCACATGCTTATCCTGCTGCCCAACGAAATCTCTGGCCTGCAGGACTTGGAACTGAAACTCAACAACGTGGATCTAGCCGACATTGACGCGGCTATGACCCTACAGGATGTGGAGATTTTCCTGCCCAGGATGACCATAGAGTACGACGTGGACCTCAAACCAATTCTAAATCAGGTGAGTCTAAGATTGCAAGTATTGGAATAAGTATAAACAATAAAATTAATTTCATTTTTAAAAGTACAAAGCACTCTTTTTATATTTTATTATAAAGACCACATACGACTCAATTATTATTTTAAAGTTAAAAACAAATGCCAATCACTAAAGCTATTGTACAACTAATAGGTATTGTAACTAATTTATAATCGTTGCAGATGGTTGATATATTATTAGAGGCACATATCTCGCTTTTATTTCCATACGCCTGACTTCTTTTTGACATCTTATAAAAAAGTTTAAGTTAAGGTGCAACATTTAGTTAATGGCACTTGAATTTTAACTTATTACTGTAATGATAAGAACGGGTTTTTCAATGTAATTAAAATACCAATAATACTTGTTACTAATTAAATGTGTTACATCAACAGCTGGGTATTGCTGAAGTCTTTAGCGATAAGGCGCAACTGGACGGACTCTTTAAGTCGAGAACAGGCCAGAAGATCTCGGCGGCAAGACATCGCGGTTACATCGACGTAAACGAGGCGGGATCAGAGGCAGCCGCCGTCACTTGTAAGTGAAATCGATTACTCGCTATGCCTGTATTCTGATTTTCGCACTTAATTGCAGTCATGAAGATTGTGCCCATGATGCTGAACATGAACAAGAAGCTCTTCAGGGCAGATCACCCGTTTGTGTTCTACATACGCAACTCGCAGGCCGTGTTCTTCGCCGGCCGATTTGTGATTCCCGATTGTGGATTACCAGAGGAAGGCGATTCGCGGGAAGGTTCCAATGCCAGCATGTACAATGTCCAAGAGCAGCAGTGAGACCAAATAAAATTCAGCTGGGAAATCCCACTAGAACTCATTGAATTTCAATCTAAGAGAGCTGTGTTCGCAGTTCTCAATAACAAGGTATTGCATTAGAGTCCAGTACATATATAAGCTCGTCTTGGCACTCTCCGCTCAGTTTACAGAGATACCTATCTCGGGGACCAGTTCGTTGGAGGCGGTGAAATGAATTACTTGTGTAAGTTGCGAATCGATGTCGGGCAGTGAAATAGAAGTAAATAAATGCCAATGTATTCAATGTTAAATTGCCATATTCGATTTTAATTGATGCATTAGTCATATTACGAAAATGGTAATAATGTGGTTTTGTAAGGATTCCCACTTGTTTCTGTTCGAAACCAGAATTTCTAGGAATAAGTGGAGCGGTTAAAACCAAAGTGTATTAAAATGGATTTCCCCTTACTAGGCCTGATACTGTGGATCACTTCTGTGGCTTGTCAAGCCTCCGAGGAGATCTACCAGCTGCTGGCCAAGAGCCATGCCAACCAGAACCTCATCGTCTCGCCCGTCTCCATAGAGGCCATCCTGAGTATGGTCTACATGGGCGCCGGAGGTTCGACGGCACGGGAACTGCAGAGTGCCCTGAGGCTGTCATCCGGGGACAAGCAGGAGGTGGCCACCAAATATGGGGCACTCCTCAGCCAGTTGCAGGGGCAGGAGCAGGGCGGTGCCACACTGAAGCTGGCGAACCGCATCTACGTGAACGATCAGTACAGCCTCCATGAGGAGTTCAATCTGGCTGTGAGAGAACCCTTCAAGGCCGAGGCGGAGTCTATAAGCTTGGCCAATGGGCCCGCGGCGGCCGCGAGGATTAACCAATGGGTGCTCGACCAGACCAGTGGCAAGATCAAGAACATGATCGACCCCGTCAGCATGACGTCCGACGTCAAGGCTTTGCTGGTGAACGCCATCTACTTCAAGGGCCAGTGGGAGTCCAAGTTTGATCCAGAGAGAACCAGGTCCTCATCCTTCCAAGTAACTGCCGACAGGAATGTGACCGTACCGATGATGATGCAGATGGGAACCTTCAAGGCGAACTACTTCCGAGACCTGGATGCGCAAGTACTGGAGCTGCCGTACCGGAACTCCAACCTGTCCATGACCATCTTCCTCCCCCGCGATGTTGGTGGCTTGAGTTCGCTGGAGGAGAAAATCGTTGGCTTCGCCAGGCCATTGGAGGCCAAGGAGGTGTATGTGAAGCTTCCCAGGTTCAAGATCGAGTTTCGTGACGAACTCAGGGAGACCCTAGAGAAGGTGGGTTGACTTTGGAAAATATCTGGTTTCGCAACTCAAAAATTCCATTGCAGTTGGGCATCCGAGAGCTTTTCACTGACAACTCGGACCTAAGTGGCTTGTTTGGCGATAAGTCAGGCGGAAAAGTCAGCCAAGTCTCGCACAAGGCGTTCCTGGAGGTGAACGAGGAGGGAGCAGAGGCCGCGGCAGCCACATGTAAGAGATTTGATTATAGCAGATGAATTTGCACTACTATATACTCACTGTTTTCGTTGAATTTCAGCTGTATCCGTCACGAATCGAGCGGGCTTTTCCGTGTTCTTTGTAGCCGATCATCCCTTTGCCTTCGTTATTCGCGATGCGAACACCATCTTCTTCCAGGGCCGTGTTGTAAACCCCCAAATAAATATAAAATGATTAATTTTATAAAATATTTTTACTTAAAAAATGGTCACAGTATTCGCGGCGGAATGATTTCTAAAAATTTACACTTAAAATCAAGATATTGACAAATTTGGAATTATGTTCAGAGCTGTAAGCTTATTTTTGTTATTATACGTTTTGCTAAATTTAGAACCTTTAATTTTCTGTTAGAAAATCATTTAATATTGTACATGATTGTGTAATTGTTTAATCAACTTAGCAGATATCACATAGCCTAATTGACAGATTTAATACATAAATCAATTAAATATAACTTGTTAACCAACTACCGTAAGCCCGCTTGAAAATCCACTTAGAGGGTTTTACCAAACTGCCAATACAACCTGAATAAATGGTGGTTTTGCTTAGAAATTGATTGCATAATGGGAAATGTATCTTGCGAATCCTCAGCAGAGTAGCTTAACAGTCAAGTCGAACGTGAGTTTACGTCTGCTTTTTTTCCTCAGAATCTTCAGATTCAACATTTTTCAATAATAAAGCAATATTTTAGCTGGGTTAGCATAGTCGGGTGAGCCAATTTCGTCTTCTGGTTAATGGTTTTGAACAAAACAGCTCTATTGCTAACAAAACTGTTACCAGACATATAAATTTTATTCAGGCAATTTTAAAAATTGTGCATTTAAATAAACTTTTTAATTATCAAGCTTTATCTAAAATAAGTTTTTAAATAGGAAACAATGTTTACTGTGAGCCTTACTGCAAAACAACTGCACATTTGGCCAATCCGATTCCCTTCCCAATTTAACGTAATACCAACAGAAAATATAAAATATAGTCCAAACACAATTTGTACCCAATATTCCCTACTGTTCTTTCAAAATCAGTACAGTCTTCATTGTCAGCTATTTTTACATAATGTTTTAAAGTTAAGTCCTACTTATTTTTTATACATTAGTTTAAAAAATTCCCAATGTGGAAATATAATCTTTTGGAAAATCCGACAAGTAATATTTTTTTGCAGGCATGAAAAATTATTGTGGTCTAAATAGAGAAACCCCATTTCTTATCTATATTATTATTCAATTTTTTGTTTATGTCTGGCCAATTGAAAACCTCTTTCCTATAATTAAAAAATATAATGCAATATGAAGCATTGGAAAAGATTATGAATTATATTGTAAATCAAAACCAAGGGTTATTCATGCGGGAATATGAAACAGAGATAGAAATACATATGTACTTATACCACCAGATGGGTATTTCTAACTATTTTCGGACACATCTATTTTGAGCGGTATCTTTTGAAGTGCTGTTCTGGAAATATTATATGTATGTTGAGTGTTACACCCTCACAAAAAAAAATTCTAATTTGTATGTACATATGTCATTTAATGCCACACAGAGTGCGCTTTTGGGGCACAGAAAAAATTAGTTCTCAGTGGAAAGCAGAAGCCCTCGGAACACCCACGGAAATTTCTGATCGTCCCACTCATTAAAATCCATCGGTGGAACTTAACTTCACGTAAGTATAAACATATTTTATGCAGATACTAAATCCATTTGCACTCCCACATATGTATATAGGTTGATTTATAGTTCACCTTTCACCTTTGATGTGATTTTCCCAGAAAGAATATTTTTTAATTGTAAACAAGATGACATCACTGTTTGTCAACAACTGCAAGCAAAGCAGAGAGTAAGAGAGCTAAATAGGGCCGGAAAGAAAAAAAGAGAGCCGATTGAAGAGAGCCTTGGTGAAAGTACTTGCTCTTAAAATCGGGCCCAATTAAATTGGTTTTAGTCACGAAATGAGGAAATGGAAATAAAAACGTTAGTAAGGAAACAGTTTCTGAACACATATTACAATATAAATAAATGAACAAGACTATTAATTTTTTTAATATTATTTTGAAATAAATATATAAAATGTTTACAAGACTTTCAGTGGCCGTACTATTTATAAAGAATATAATAAAGGGTACATGTCTAACGTGTTCAATTTCGAGTTAAAATTTCTAAGGCCTATATAAGTATTTTTTCCATCACAAGAAACCTGTACATTTTCAAGGTGCACGATAAAATCTTTAAAAACCTTTACACATTTCCACCCTTTAAATATTTATTTGACCTGGGAAGATTCATGTTAGTCAAAAACCAGTTTTATCAGAACTAAGAAACATCATTCTAAAAACCTCTCTGAGCTCAGGTAACAATCGAAGAGCAGTTTAAATATAAATCTGAAACGTGAAATAGTTTAGTTTGCTTCATCATGTCAGGTAGGAAAGATACTCTTTGCTTGGTTTGAGCCCTTGAATTAACCACAGTTTTCCTCTGACAACTTTGTCACATTAACATCCTACAGCCAAGGCCACGTGGTCATTTTTGCTGCTCCAGGGCTTGATTTTAGCCATGGCCAACACTGTAAACTACTCCAAAAGCGCTGCCGGGGAGGCCCAGTTTGCCTCGAAGCTTTATGGCCAGTTGGCCAAGTCTGAGCCTGGTCGGAATATCGTATTCTCGCCCTCCTCCATCCGACTTGGCTTGGCTCTGGCCTTTCTAGGTGCCGATGGCAGCACCGCCGAGGAGCTGAAGCAGGGATTGGGCCTGGAGGGAACTGGCAAAAACGAGGTGGCCCAGCTCTTGGCCAAGGGACAGAGGCTAGTGGGGAATGGGGATGAGAACGAGGACGGGGCCAAATTGAAGTATGCCAATCGGATTTATGTGGCCCAGCAGTTCCAGCTGGCCCAGGCGTATCAGGACTTGGTCAGCAAAAACTTTGCAGCATCGGCCGAGAATGTGAACTTTGCCCAAAGTGCGGATACTGCCAAGCGCATTAACACTTGGGTGGAGGAGCAGACCCATCAGCAAATCAAGAACCTCATCGCTCCGGACTCACTCGACGCCGATACGGCTGCCATCCTGGTCAATGCCATCTACTTCAAGGCCGACTGGCTGAGCAGTTTCCCCGACTATGCCACTTACGCCCGCGACTTTGTCAACCACGGAGGTCAAAAGGTTAGCGTGGACACCATGTCCCAAGAGGATTACTTTAGGTTCGCCGAGCTGCCCGAATTGAAGGCTAAGGCCTTGGAATTGCCGTACACCGGCACAGATATCGTGTTCCTGATCATTCTGCCCCAGGAGGAGCAGAGGCTGGGACTTGTCGAGGAGAAACTGAACGGTCTGGACCTTAATGATATAAGCTCGCAGTTGAGCCGGCAGAAAGTAAAGCTGCAGCTGCCCAAATTCAAGTTCGAGTTCGATGTCCCCCTGCAGCCGGTCCTGGAGGAGGTGAGTTCTTTTTGCGAATACACTTATAGAAAAATATTTATCACAGTAACTAAAAGTAATTAGATGGTTGGTTATAGCTATAATACAAGAAATGTTAGCTTATTCACTCAGAAAAGAGGACAAAGGACGACTATAGTTTCGTTGGTGTGCTAAAACTAACTCATCAAATCCAGTTTGATGTACTGTATAATTATATTAACATAGGTCCCTGAATTTTGTTAAATAGTTAAAAAAAACGGATCATTGTAAGCTTTTGAAAAATCTATTGTTACAGAAGACTAGGCTGTAAAAATATGACAGTGTTACCTATCAAATTAGAGATATGCTGAATGGAAAATCATCTTTATCTTAGCGTAATCACTGTAGAACAATTTTTTTTTGAAAATATGTTAAGCGGTCTTTAGCAACTATGGTTTTTATTTGTTTACTATTGCTTTATTTTTGATTTTACGATTTTTATTATAGATCAAATTTGTTTTTTTCTAAAATAAAAAATGTTTTTTCAGTTAAGGTATTAGGCAGTTGGACAAAAACTATAAAGCCAAATGCCGCAGAGAACATAATTTCATTCAGTCGCAGAGTTCGTCTACACCGAACGTTTATGTTTTAATTTGGAGACTTCCAAATATTTTATATCTAAATCGGGAACATATAATAACCCATATTATTCTTCCAGTTGGGTATAAAGAAAATATTTAGTCCCGAGGCGAACCTCAGCAGCCTGCTCAGACAACCGGATCCCATTCGCATCTCGGAGGTGAAGCACAAGGCCATCATCGAGGTCAACGAGAAGGGGACAACAGCCAGCGGAGCCACCTGTAAGTGTTCCTATGAAAATACCTAAAAGCAATCATAATTGATTATCTGTTTGCAGTTGTCAAGGCCGAGATAGAATCCCTTATCGTGGGAGAAGAAATTTTCGAGTTTACTGCGGACCATCCATTTTTCTTCGCTATCAAGGACGCACATAGCACCTTCTTTTTGGGCCACGTGAGCCAGCTCTGAATTGGAGTTTCCCCCATTAATACCTCAAAACGCAATATGTATCTCGCATTCAATAAATGCCAATCTTCGATGTCAAATAAACGGACACAAGTACCGACAGGTATATCGACCTTGTTGGTTGATTAGTTTTGGGTTGCATAATGCTGTTGGCATGGGCGATGGCTGCTTCTGTAATTAGAGCCATCCGAGTTGCAGTTGACATTGATAGTTTATTAAGAGGACTTGGCCCCGTTGAGCTCCCGATCCTGGCGAAAGGCCAGTTTGTTTGGCAGCCCTGTATCAGTCCCCTGAGTGTGTGCAGCGGGTAATAAATCAAAGTTAGTATAGCTATCAATCCATGACACAACGGCGAACAAAAAGAGTCAAGAGTGAAGGCGAAATGCGATGGGAGGAGCTGGCAATTTGAATGCCAGTGGTAAGTGGCCAAAGTCCAAACACACACAAGGACCTGCGGACTCATGGACACGCACATGGCTAAAAGTCAACAACTGTGTTGGCAATTTGCTGCAATCATCCAACAACACATCCTCTGGCTCCTGCTCGTCCTTCCTCCTTGCTCCTTCCCTTTTCCCAGGAGCGAATGTTTATGAGTGCAGCTAAATTGTTGTTCTCCGTGTTTGACTCGCTTTTTTCCTGGCTTCCTTTTCGGCGAGGATTTTCCGGACCCTTGACCGATGATGGCTCACACATATAGAGTACATACCTAGTGTAGTATACCCCTCATGGCCTCACCGCCTTTTGTGGCGGATATTTGCATATTTCTAAACAGGTGTAAATTAAATTTGAAAAATTTTTGCGGCTACCAGAGCGTGTCCTTGTGATATCCTGCCCGCCCTGGGCGGCAGTTTTAATAACGTTTTGTGACATTTACATACCTCTGAGGCCTGGTCATGATGCCGGCCCATAATTCAGGTTTATTGTCGGCGAAATTATGCAGTTGGATGATGGGATGTGAAACAATTAGTGCTGGATTTACGCACGTGTAAAACATTTTAATTAAATCCGTGCTGACGTGCCGCTTGGTTTTCCACTCGAGCCTGACAATTCCTAGGGATTTTATTACACTTTCGAAGGCTGTGTGTCCCGCTTGGCTCCAGCACTAATTGGTGGCCAGGGCGATGCCGAAACTTTGGCTACGTTGTCACGGGCGACGCTCAAGTTTCCGTCAGCAAATTGAAATTGAAATGACAACACAGGCGGGAGCAGCAAAACCATCAACCGCATTGGGAGAAGGAAAGGAAATGCAACTCGCGCATCTGCAAATAGGAAATTTCATGACAAGTGCCGAGCTCAAGGTTGAGGTGTGGGTGGCGATGGGTGGTAGGGTGACTGGGTGGTGGGGTGGCCGACATGCTTCACTAGACATCTGCCTTAACAAGCTGTCCTTTGCCTTTGCGTAGGCCTTTTTCCATTCCTGCCGCTGACAGCTCTTTGCATCATTTGCCAAATTGACAGGTACTGTTTGATCCGCTCGCCACCTATCAGAGTGGGCCAATTTACTTACTTTTATTACCCCTCATGATGATTCTTTGAGTAAGCTGATTTACTTTAACTTGTTCAACAGTAGTTGTGCCTCAGAATTGTGTTATCTTGATATTTTTCATGGTTTTAATTCAAGACCATTAAAACTTGACTTTAGACAAACTTATCTCGAATCACATTTTTGAACATTTCGTCTTGATTCTGACCACATTTTTTTATTGAAGGTAAATTTTGTTGGATGGTATAGATATGTCGAATCAGATTTAATTAGAGCTTGTGAATATGTTAATATCTTGTCTTTTATAATGAAATATGTTTAATACGTGATCTTTTTAAACGGATTTTAAAATAGATTTAGGTAACGAAATTTTTGCGAGTCAACCAACAGGTATGCCCTATATACGCTGGTTGAGTGTTAAAGATAAGTTACATAAATTAACTGAATGGTGAATAAAGCCAGGGGAATGCTTGAATTTATTCAAAGGTGGTCCACGGAAGAAGATGATCACCGTGTCTCAAAGACTTCACTTCATTAAGAGTTGCCTTAAATGCAAACTTACTTCTTCTATAACATTAATTACCGAAAGATGCTTGCACAAAACCAAGTTTTTCCAACCTAAAAATGTTGGCTGTTTGTAACGAAACTAATTTAACTAATTTAATGTAAATGTTACGTTACGTAAAGTAATGCAATACTTTATGAATACCATTCCTCCAACCGACAAATATAAACAAGTTAACTAGCAATTGATAAACGACAAAAATAAATTACTGAACTGATCACAAATTGTTTCAGCTAGTATAGAAATAAGTTTGGAATAACAACAAATATGAATCTAAACAATTAATTTAAAAGCCTATTGATTCAAATAATGAAACTATTTTTATGTAAACCTTTATTGCTTTGTAGCGTAATTTGTTTTCATTTTGTTATTAAAATCTGATTTTTTGTAATGTTGTGTCGTTATGCTCTTCTATATTTTTACTTTTAGGCATTCTTAGATTTTATTCCACAGAGATGTTGTCAACTATTGTGGTTGCCTCTTTGACTGTAAAAAGCTTAGGTGATATGCATATTTTGCTTTTCCCTTTGTTAATGTCTGTGGCAGCCACACGTTGGTGCCTCTCCCCAGGTGGCCGGGTCCAAACGATTATTCCGCATCCTGCATACTGCAGCAGACAATTGTAGAGGCAAAACTGTAATTGTAACTCACTTTTAAGTGCGTCTGACAACTTTGGTAATTAAGGAATTATGTCATGCGCACGTTTTCCATTCAAAAGAGCTCTCGCCGTAACTGGTTGTGGGTGGAAGAGCCTTTTTTGATTGCGTTGGTTGCCTTGGTTTTCCTGTGTCATATTCTGTGTTCTGTGTATATTGCATTTTTGCAATTGGCATTTAATTTCGAAAGTTGCTAAGTTGCATATTGTGTTTATGCACGCTGAACTCCCATTGAAAGAGATCGCCATTGTTGGTGCCGCATTGCCAGGTCCTACTCTGAAATATTACGCGACCCTGAATGCCCAAGGTGTTCGAAAGTTTACACTTTCGCACTGGCCACAGAAAACGGTGGGGTACCACAAAAATGATAATAAAATCCCAGCTCGCTCCAATGGACACTGGACACAATTTAAAGCTCGTCCTGGCATCGCACAGCGCGCACACACAAAGGAAAGGGCGGACAGGAAGGACTGTTCCGGGCAAACAAGTTAACGCTCTTCACATGGACAGCAGCTGCCAAAGTGCGTATCTGGACGAGGCAGGTTAATGAAATACTTGGCCATGTAAGCTGGAACATACCTCCTGCCAGCCGGTCAACCGACCTGTCTCGTCCTCTCGAATGCCAAAGGACATGGCGAGACGGATGTCCCTTTTTTGCTTTTTTTTTGCCATCCCAGCCAGTATATGGTCCTCAACCCGGGGCGATGCAAAAGTTGGTTAACACTTTAAATTTAATACATGCTATTGAATATTAACGAGCTGCCTTGCTCCATAAATGGCGAGTACCCTCGGCGTGTCCGACAATTATCGAGCATACGCCCCGTCGGCCACATCAGGTCCTCGTTTGCCTTTTGGCAGAGCAAATGTGCTCTGAGGATAATTAACATTTGTATGTCAATATTTGCCGAGGCAGCCGCAAGCATCTAAATGAAAATCTCTGCTTGACATGTAAAGCTCTTTGCCTCTCATCAGATTTAATTCCCATTTGAGGTGCGTGTCCAAACAATTTGGTATTTAGTGTTGTTCTCTAGGGACAGGAGGCTAACAAATTTACTAAGGTGAAAGGTGATGGCTCGCCAATCTGATGGGCAAGTGTGTTACAGTTGATCGGATATGTAAGGCAGGTCTTTATAAAACTAAAGTTTTTACCAAGACGGGCAACCAATAATTAGATGCCAATTTAACCAAAAACAAACTTGCGGGCGTCAGTTCAAATTGAACTGTCAGAGGAATTATTACCAACCACGAGCTCAGTTGACAATGCCTGAGGGGCGAGCTTACAACCTTTCCAGTGGGTTCGAGGGGAAGTCCTCGACTCCGTCTGCGGCCCAAAGCTCTGGTTCTGAACCCAGCTGATGGCAGCAAGGACCTCTGGTTTGTCCCAAGGACGCATGCGTAATGGGGCGCTGGAAGGTTTGTTTTGGTCGCAACCACGACCTGCAACACGTTGTGTTTTGAATGCCTTGGCGGCAAAACTGTGGTGGCCTGTCCATCCGTCTATAAAAGCCACTTTCCATGCTGGCAGTCAAACAGTTCCCAGCATGATAGCAGCGCACGCGGTCCTCATCGAAAACCCAGAGACTTACTGACGACGGATAATAACTTTGAATGAAGTGTAAGGAGCGACGGTTACATTTTTAGTCCTTCGGTCGGTGGTGTTCCCAGTGTCTGTGGCTTTGTGTGCGGGTGATTCCGGAGAACATAAATCAGAAATTTAATCAATCTCACGTGCCGACTTGCAGTTTCCCACAATTTCAACGTTATTTCGAAGTGATTAAGTATACGCCAGGTAAGCCCGCCTAGCAGGACTTTCAGTAAATCCCAGTGACCTAGTAAGGAACGTGCGGTCATTCGGATTGCGCCCATCCCGACTTGGCCACCAACTCCTGCATTTTATGGCCACATTAAGGCATAAACAAGGGCAAAAAAACAAAGCACGTACTGAGTGCAAGTGCAAAAGTAAAGACTTTAAAGTGCCTGCCAACGGGGACAAGTTACGATTATGGCGGAAAATTCAAATTTTTCGCAAGCTATCCTGCCGCATCCTCACCCACCCCCCTCTACCACCCATCTCCCAATATCCATCCCTAGGTGGGGTCTTCAATATCCAATTTTAACGGCAGCATTCGCTGGCATAATAAAAATTTATCGTAAGCGCATTAAATTTGTAGCAGCCGCAAGTTTCGCTCTGTCCCCCACTTTTTTTTTAAGGTGTAGAGACAAAGAGTCCTCGCAGCAGTTAACATGTCTTAGTAAGCTCTAAGTTGCCTTTAGATCTGCCTTTTGTGTGTCCCGTTCCGGAGGAGGATGGGGCGGACGAGAGCTGTGCCATGTTGTGCATTTTTATTACGATTGTACAGCTCGCACATGCCAGAAAGCACAAGCATCCCCTAGGAACCCCT